ATTTGATTATTTACTATTCTCTCTTCTCTCTCCTCCTATCAGAAACTAAACAGAAGATTCATGTTTTATGTGTATCCGAACCCCTTTTTTTTTCTGGGTTGGGGGGGGGGGAGTAAAGAATCAAGCGTCAAGCAAGACTAGCGATGCTACAATTGGTATGAATGATTTGAATCAGAATCAGTAACAAATCAGCCCTTTGAATCAATCCAATACTTGAGGTTACTGTTTACGCAACTGATGTTCCGTGTGAACGACATAAGCAGAGGAACTACATCAAATATCATGCAAAGTATTCTGATTCTACGAGATAAGAGAAAGCCCAGGCTAAAATCAACGATCTTGTGGTGGAGATTTACCTGTTTGTCCTCTGTCTCGGACCTTCTCGCTGCTTTATTTGTCTCCAAACCTGATCTGCCTTTCACCCAATCTAACTTCTGCGCAGAATCCGTCATGCTTTTTCTGCATCTTCGCTTGTTTCTTTGCCAATAGACCCTTCACAACGTCTGAAAAACAAAACCCATGAACACATAAGAACCAGTTTGGGAACAGAAAAAGTGAAGTGACAGAGGAACAAAGATTGAGACATGGAACTGACCTTGAGTAGTGATGAGTCTGTAAACCTGGCCAAGAACAAGGGTATCTGTGGGCTTGAGAAGCTTGATGCGAGTAACGCGAACCGGGTTGTTGATGGGTTGTCGTTATTCTTATCATGGCATTTTTCATTGCCCTGGGAAGGACACAATGTGGAGGAGATGAGAAGAGCAACATAGTGACCAGGGTTGGTCTTCATGACTTCACCGGCACTCACAGGCCAATACAGCCTCTCTGCTTTCCCATTTGGCTGCTGTATTACCAGAGACGCTGAATCAATGCCTGGCAATTTCCCATCCTATTCTTCTTCTCTCTCACGGCTTGAACAAGGTACGGAAGCAGGTAGGTGGGGGATACTGGTCACGTTCTGCGAGGAGCGAACTGCTACCCCGTGGAAACTTTAAATACTGCTTCATATGATTCTTTTACATTCCAAAGGTTCAAACTTTATAGCACCCCTAGATTATATTATTATTATTATATATTTGAAAAATAAAAATAAAAAAAGAGAAAAATTTTTTTTGGGGGGGGGGGGGGAAGATAGAAGGGAACCCAGAATGGAAGTGTGATGCAGGAGCTGAGAGAGTCGAACACGGAATGGAAAAGCAGTGAAGGTTTTATCCAACAAGAGCTGACGTGGGAGGCATTGATTGGAGAGGAGTGGGAACACGCTAAAAAAAAGTGAAGACCTAGGCTGCTCTACCTGATGTGATGTGCGCCGCTTGCAGCTTACATTCTCTTTCTCCCATTCTTGTTTCTTTTTTTTTTTTGGCCAGTTCTCCCATTCTTGTTTACCATAGCGTCTCCCCAACAAAATTTTACCTTACCTTTTAACCCTTTTATTTTCAATTTTTGATTTAAAAAAATAAAAATAGTTATCAATATAATAATATATATATATATAATCATACTATTCAAAGATCAGAATTGTGTGACTCGGATCAAATTCTGTGTGAATGTAATGCACGAAAATAATTTAAAAAATGGATTTAGAATTATTAATTATATGATGGAAGGGTGCAAATATTGTGCACGAGTAAATGTGTTTGATTGGTAATTGATAAATATAAGAAGCAAAAATTGCATACCCTTTTATATTTTCTTATTGGAAATTGATAAAAACGGCCCTTTTGTTTTGAAAGGAAAATGTCACAAACTCGCACAAAATGAAGTGTATTTTGGATGATAAAATTCGTGTAGGGGATGACGTAGATGAAATATGGAAAGGGGGAGAATGTGTTAGAAAAATACAAACTAGGTTTGTTTGGGGGAGGGGTCAAACGGAATGAATGATTTGGGAAAAATAATAATAATAAGGGATGATGAATGATTGAAAAAGTTGACGAGGAGGCAAGAGGGATGATTGGTGTATTAGTGGTCAAACAGCCATGATCCTACAGACCAACTTGCATCCATATATGATGTTTGACACTTAATTGCCTTCCAAATTTCACCACTCTCATTATCACACCATCCTCTTCCTTCTTCCCTTCTAATAATTCATTTTACACTATAACCTCCAATTCTCATTTAACCTACTATTTTTTTAATCCTTTTTACATAGAACGCACAAGGTTGTTTTTTTTCTTCTTTGATATAAATATACGAGGTTGTTGTCATAATTGTAATACTTTGATAAAAGAGATAGTTCGTAGGAGCCTAGGAGGGGAGAGCGGAGGTTAACGCTTGGGGTGGACCACAAACTCGCCGTTTGTGGGCTGCTTCCATGTGGGCCCAGGCCCATACTTATCTCTCCATCCACATCCACGCCACGCCTATGAGCACGTGTCCATGCAGATGCAGCAGCGCAAAATCTCTCGTTATTTTTAAAATCACATAAAAAGCCTCATTAATTTTGAATTGAATCAGGCAATACCAGCATGGTCTCAGTTTCACGTTGTCAGAACCATGATGTTACAAAAGCTACTGGGCAAACCTGTTTTCAAAATTCAAACGCATCCCACATCTTGCTAACTATGATAAATATTTAAATTAAATGCAATTCCTTCCTAAAAATGTCGTAAAATATAAGTGTCATCAATTAATTTTTCGACTTAACTAAAAGTAACAATAAGGCCTGTAGATGGGGAGTGGTGAGAGCGAAGAGAAGACAGTTTAGATGGGCATCAAGAAGGTTCCTTCATCAAACAGACACACACATAAAAAGGGATACTATTATGGTGCGGAGGGGACCATGATAAGGAAGCTGATTGGTTGTTGCGTTGAGGAACAGGAGATATTCCATGTTTCATCAAAACGACAGACCTCTGATTCCCTGTCTTCCACTTCTCCTCTCCCCCACCACCCCTCCACCCACCTCTTATCTCTCTTCTCTTCACTTTTCTCAACCTTTTTTTTCCTTAAATAATGAGACTTCTATTCAAATTTCTGAAGTTTTTTATCCAGAAAAATACAAAAAAAAATGTATGGCCTTATTGTAATTGAATCCAAATTTACTCTTCCCGCCTTAGGAACGGTATGCTAACAGGCAACTCTACGCTCTACCATATGTACATTTGCTCTCAATATTTAACGACACAGCTTGACAAATTTGTCCCCCAGAATATCTCACAACACGTTTTTTAAATTCAGATCTCTGATCTATGTCATAAAAAAAAAAGTATGAAACCTTTGCTGCAGGAAATCAACTAGTACTGTGTCAGATGTTCTTTCTTTCTTCGTCGCTTTATTTTTTTTGCCGAAATACATGCAAATGAGTTATACTACTTATTTTTAAAAATTTTATAAATATTCTATGATGATGATGATGATCGAATATGGCTTAACAAATATACAAGAGATAATTAAGCATCTAGTAAATTATTATGTAAAGGTGCGATCAAAGGTATCGAGTCACGTGAAGTTTATCATATTCACGCATAGCATCGAATCCATTTTAAAAGAGATTCACCTCTATCTTGTAAATCCAAATGAAAACTTGGGTGCATGATCTCGCTTTTTGCCTCGCATCACATCCAAAATTATATATCCTTCTGACTTTTATAAAATTATACCAATTTCTTTTGAACCGAGAACTACTTTCATTTTATTTTATCCACAACCACTTCAACTAAAATATCCTGAATTGATTATTTTAAAAAAAATTAAATTAGATTGAATTATTTTTGGACTGGAATTGGTACATATTAAAAAATGTCAGACGTTTTAAAGTTCAAACCAATATTGGTTGGTTTGGTGGATTATGCAAAGGGGCAGACAAAGCTCAAAATAGTGGGCAAAATGAGTGAAGGCTAGCTGGTCCAAATGAAATTGTGATGTAACTTCTATTTGGACCTGCCTACCCAACCCTACAGCAATTTGAACATCTTTCCAGAATTTTGTGGGCGCCCTGTTCTTATATACCCATGCCCAAACAAAGGGCCAAGGAAAAAAAAAATCACTGACAGATTAGATTTAGTAGAAGAAATTAATTTCTCACAATGTGATAAATTAATTTTTAAATTTTTATTATTTAAAATGTCAACATTTAATGCTTGATCATATCTTGTATGTGATTATTTTTAATAAAAGAATGCTAGTGCACAATTTAAAAAGGGACCAAGAAAAAACAAAAGATGATTTTTTTTTTTTCCTCTGTTAAATACTTCACCCCTTTCATTTTACCCCTTTTTATTCTAAATGATCGCGCTAGTGTATTGTACAAGTACAAAATATTTGATATGCTTTTGTAATTTCAATATGGATGAATGTAAGCAAAGTGACAATTCAGTTTCAAAGGTCTCTTAGGATTTTGCAGTAAAGCAACTCACTTTTTCTTTTCCTCTTTAGTGCCTTTTGACGTTATTTTATGGACAACGGTTGATGTATGCATTTCCAATCTCATGCACCTTCTGCCAAACCAGTGTGCTTTCCCCACCTTCATCTCATTGTTTTGACGGATTCAAAAAGCGTATAAACAATCTCTTTCCAACTTTATTATTTGATTTTAAATTATAAGGAGGTCATTGCATATATAACAACCTCAAGCTGAATCAAATCCCAAGTAATCATACGCATCTTGAAAAAGACTCGTTCGAAAAAAAAAAAAAACACAACAGGTTTCCATTGTTCAACGCAATTCTAATATAAAATCTCCATCAACAAATAAGTACCATCCACTATTTGAGTAGCATGATGGCTGATTAGGAGAAAAAGGAAATTTCCATCTCGTGTCTTTTCGTTAACTAATATTACCTCCCGAAGTACTTATAAGAAACACTTTATAATTAAATTTTAACTTGAAAGTGTTTCTTATAAATAGGGCATATTAGATACGCACTAAAAATCATTAATATGATCCAGCTTCGTGAGTCATCTCCGACAAATACAAATCAATCAGGAAAAAAATCGCACAATAATTTTCTGAAGCATTCTACATGACGCCGCTCCTAATGTTACCGAGAAAAGTGTTAGTAAGGAATTAAAGATTATAATTAGACTAATCATAATACAGTTGTAGCGTGGAATAAGGTCGAATGTGATGTCAGAACACGATCAAACAAGACTTGCTGAAGCAAACATCTAATGAAACCAACCCTCAAGTGTCTCAGCTCTTATACACAAATTACACAGATGGGAAGTATTTGTTCAGATTATAAGGCAGAGAATAGAACTCCTCACTTCTGCTATCACCCTTGAAAGATCGGTACTTGTCCCACCAATGCTTTCCTCTGTCTTTCCTAATGGCCCCATCTTTCTTATGTATGGTGTTGTCCAGAAAATATGCCACACATCCCGCAACAAACGCTTCTGATTGGAATGGCACATTCACTATGTCGTTGAACTGCCCAGCAACGTCAAAAAAAAAAAAAAATGTCAGTCTCAGAAACAGACATGGCTCATTCATTTCAAAGAAATCTGTGGTTTGTGGTGTTATATATTCTTATCATACCCATCTGGCACTTGTGTGAACGGGACCAAAACCATTGATTGCTGTGTACTCGTTGAAGTACTGTGGCACTGACAACCCCAAGAAGATAGAGAAGCCTAATATGAACTTCGTTCTAAAACTGTTGAGGTTGCAGAACTGAAGAAAACTGAGACCTCCAGCACCTGCACCAGAGAGAATCTCGTGTGCTGGTTTTTTTCATCAGATATCACAGGAAATCTTGACTCTGAAACATACATACCGACATACGCAAAGAACAAGCAGTACAGAGCAGCAACAATGGGTGGTGGTATAGAGGCAAAAACTGCTCCAAATTTCCCTGCAAATCAAACAAAAAAGAGAAGCCAACATAAGTGGTAAAAAAAAAATGCATTATGACAGGGCAAACCACACATTTCATAGTAAGCACTGAGCAATGACACCCATGCTTCATCAACTCACCAAGAATTGAAAAGAAAATCATAAATCCAGCTGATATTTGCACAACTCTTCGACTGCCAACACGGGTCAAGGCTAAAAGACCAGCATTTTCTCTATATGGAAACAAAATAAACTCCTTTGATCAACCAAAAATATGTCTTTCCTCTTGGTTCATGCAAAGAGTACAGATAGTATGACTTCAAACTTACACTGATACAGAGGATCCTGTGGAAGTTCCAAATAATCCCGACACAAGAATGGCAACCCCCTAAGCAGAAATAAGAGGCACATTCAGGACAGAAATTCCACATCCTATGAATTTCTATCATTATATTAAGTTAGAGCTCAGTGAAATTATTATTTACATGGTTCTTCTTCAAACAGAAAATTAAATAAAAAAATAGCATTACACTTCTAGTTCTGCTTGACTGCATATCAATATTATCAAGACTTCTTCTACTGGTATTATTATTTTTCCTTAAAAAAAGCTTGCAGATATTTAAATTTGAAAGTATAAGCCTTCTTCACTTACCTGCCAGCCAATACCCCGACTGAGAATAGATGGTGGCATTGGAGTTGCGCTAGCGTACCTAGACACAGCAACAAAAGCTCCACTGGACTGCTCGATAAGAGTAAAACATGAAAGTAGATGATTTTACTGTGGTGAAGGATTATAATGCATAGAAAATGCAAATCAGCAAGCATATAACAATGGCGTATGAATATAAAAGTCAGATAATCTAAAGCATGGCATCATACACTAAGTAAAGCCATTACGTAAAGATTGAATTTTAGTTTATTTACATAGTTACACAGCAATGAAAACATAAGCAAAATGAGGAAAACAATTTCATAATTATTTGTTGGCTTTAACTTAATTGATGAACAGCTATCTACAACAATCTCCTCAAGCAAAGTTTCCGCAGGGTTCTTGATCCAACTTTGAAGGGTGAAGATGGAACTAAAGCAGCCTTGAGGAAAATCTGGGTGTGTATGCACAAAGATAGAGGTTTGAGGCTCCTTACGCTTGATTATCTACTGATAAAAGCAGCAGCTCCTGAAGGAGTGTACTTCCAAGCGACCAAATCCCAGTGATCAAATATGCAGTGACCTGGTTAATCTAAGGCAGAGGTCATCCCAGCATTATTGCCAGTCTGGTCTAGCGAATCTCTCTCCCCCTCCCCTCTATTTACTACAATGGGTCTTTTATTGAATGCTTTTAATAAATAAATTTGATTCTTCTATTAAAAAATCTACAACGATGTCCTCTGATCAACTCAGAGAGTAAAATAACTGACTTTGGCCCTGAAGCTTTTTTTAAAATTCTCCCAGATGCTGAACTAGTGCATTAGGAGAAGTTCAAAAGTAAAAGAACAATATCAGAAGGGATTCCAGGGTCCATAAGTTGCACCATTCAACTTGTATTTGGGACCAGTAAAAGAGCAGTTTAACAAATAGTGTACAGTGGGACCCGCAGCAAAAAATCAACTGTCTTTTGTATTGTTCCAGTGCACAAAACTGAGTTTAATGCCACATATTCACTGAAGACCAACTGCCACTGAGGAAGCCAAGAGTGATAAGCTATGCTGTCTTAAATGTTTAGGTATGATCTGCTGGCCAATGACAGCGACAGAATCGAAAGTACCAATAAATCATTGAACAGGGTAAGGAATACCAATGAAGAAATAGGAAAAAAGTTCAACTTAAACAAGAAATAGAACATGTCTGAATTCTGAAGAAAGAAGTTACCTCTACAAGAGCAACGAAGGAAGCCATCATCATGGCAAAGGCTTCACCTGCATCAAATGAAGGTGCTCCCCATTGAAAGGGATATGGAATGCTGATCCTGCAAGCCCAAGTTCCATAATAAATTCCATCCCATTCATCCTCATAAAGCTAAGCCTAAATACTTTCTATAGTTTTCTTTTTCTTTTATTTTTTTTTTCCTGAACAGCATAGATATTAAATTTGAAAACCGATATGTCAAGGATGAAACTCAATTTTGAAAACCATCAATTGACTAGTCCACTAAAGCTCACAACTAACCATGGAGCACCATCTATCAGTCCAGCACGATCAGTGCGGCAGGTTGATTGTGTTTTAGGTGCAGCATCGTTATAGGCCCCTCCAACAGTGAGTACATGAGCATATATCCACACAATTGCAATTGTAAATAAAACAGCAAAACGATCAAAGACATGTTTTCCGGAGTGTAGCACATGGGGTATGTACTGCATGACAAGCATTAACTAACAATTAAAATACAGTATCATAGAAGTATCCAGCTTAAATGGAAAAGAAGTCGAGAGGACAGAAAGAAATATGTTAGAAGACAATCGATTCATGATGCTGTAAGAACTATACCTGTGAAACAAATACTAACAATATAAGCTCTGGCAATCCAATCTCCACACATTTAGCAACCTACACCATAGATGGTCATCAATATTAGTTATCTTTATTGATTTAATTAGAATATGAGCGTGTAAACAATGTCTCACAAGGCTTACCCCAGGAAAACCTAATTCATATAGCCCGAAACCAACAAGAGATACCAAAGGAACTGCTGAGAGTGGACTTAGAAACCTGAAAAAAGAAATTAAATTTCCATCACTTTGAAATGGTACACCCAATTAGAGTAATATTAGCATTTGTGAATCTTTCCAGTTTAGAGGGCTTAATATTTAGTACAAACACCATTGCACAAATCAGTTGAGCATTTTAGACGTGCAAAATTTACTTCAAACATCAATGCAGCAGAGAAAAACAAGTGCGCAAGAAATTCACATATCTGACTCACACTTCAGTTTAGAAATTTTCAACCCATACATAAGGAATGAAAAATCACAACTGAGCCACATGCCAAGAACTTTAAGACCAACCTTGCAACATTGCGCCAAAGGCCACTAAAGCCTAGCACTATTTGAAGAGTTGAAGCAACAATAAGAGACCCCTGGATTGCCCGCATTATCCTCCTGAATCTCTGAACATGCCAAAGACAAAAGCCATAAAAAAAAAAAGATAAGATATTTCTATTCAGTTGAGCCCAAAAGTATAATGTCAATGTGGCTTCGATGAGTTGAGAACTGCATTTTAATTAGTCTTTCATAAAAATATGCCAAATGGTGATTACAATATTCGAGACAGAGATGTGGTCTATCTCAATTCATGGGATTTTCTAAGTGTGCCAGCCCTTAAAATGCATTGTAAATCATATGGTAGTCTGTGTTTTGGTTATATCTCATTTGACAACTATGTAAAGTAATATAACAAGTACATCAACCATGCACCATTTAATAAGCAAGATGCGTTCTGATCAATAGACCTCTATGGGATCTGCAACATCACTAAATCGACCAGCAAGTATAATTGATATTGTGGTTGGAACAAAGGTATAAGACCCTCCAATTACAGCAGGCAGTCGAGTTCCAAACAGTGTTTGCAACAAAGTGTTTATACCAGCAACAAAAAGTAGTGTTTGGATGACTTTCGCCTTCTCCCCCTGCAAAATAATGAAAATTTATTTTTCCTTTTAACTTTTTGGCTGGGATGAAATCTCAGTTTCAAATTTCAATCACATGGCTGGATATTCCTTCAAAAATATTCTAGTTGCTTAAAGTGCATTTTATCTGCTACTGCTTACGTTGCCACCTCCCATCTGGGGAACAAGAGCAGTGGGAATGAGAACAGTTGTGCCAAGCATCACGAGATAATGTTGAAAACCAAGAAGTATAGCCTCAGCTGCATCAGAATGTCCCCAAAACTCTCATCAAATCGAGGAAGAAAAACAGAAAGAACTCCTGGTCACATTTTTGACAGGCTAAAACAGGGGAGCCATGAACTTCAATAATAATCAACTTCTTAGATTGATAACAGAATATGCAACTAATTTAAGGTGCTAATTCCTTAAGAATCCAACAGCCAAAAAAAAAAGCTGAAAATTCCTGGGCGACATTATTCAATTAGCAAATTTAAAAGTGAGATTTCCATGGTTATAAAACCAGATCCTACTCCTAAGCCTGCAAAACGTAAAAGCCGAAATTACGAATATTTGAAAAGGAAAAGTTACGAAGCAAAACTCAGCAATTATCGATGTTAAAAATATTCCACAAAAAATAAAAGCGGAAAGTTCCCCCCCCCCTCCCACTCTTTGTTTTCTTTTTTTCTTTTTGACTTGCTCTTATCTTAGCCACTAGCCTCCCAAACATAAAATTCCAACGCACTTTGGAATGGGATTCTTTTTCTCTTAAAGAATAGTTTTGCTTTATGTAAAGAGAGCATCAACAATTAGGAAATGCAGGAATTTATAGAAAGCCAATTTAGACGATGAGGCAGAAAAGATAAATTGTCCAAGCATATAATTTTACCACTACAAAACTTGCCGTAAGTATACCCTATGGATTAAGAAAAATCAGAGTTCTAAGCAAGAACTCTGCGTGAAAAAAAAAATGGTGAGATCATCGAATTAAATAGCAGAGAAACTCACGCCATGGAGGAGGACTCGTAATGCAATAAGAAATATTTGGTAGCTGATCCTTTGGTACGTGTGGCTGCGGTTCATCTGCTTTCGGTGCCGGAGCTCCTCCGCCTCCTCCTGCCATAACTTGGGCTTCTCTCTCTTTTGCTTTCTAACCTTGTCACTCTCTGAAGGAAAAACAATAAACCCGATCCAAATAGTTACATAGAGAGTTGAAGGGATGGGTAAAAATATGTAAATATGTCATGAACCAGAAGAGCCTGGAGAGAGAGAGCTACCTGAGAAGAAACAATGGAATAGCGACTAAACACTGACAGAGAAGAAGAGGGAAGCGCGAACAAGAAATGAAGGAGAGAAAGCGTTAGGTAACTAGAGGGCTCGAAGGGTGAGGTGAAAGCAATAGTTGTAATAATTGCGAGGTTTAAGAGGAAAGACTGAAAGAGTAGGGAGGAAAGTACCTTTTTACAATCGCGGAGCAAGCAAAACAAAATGAAGTGACTGAGTCTATAAAGTCAAAAAAAAAAAACAAGGAGCTCAGGGGCGCAACACCAAGAAATGATGAGAGTGAAAAGAGGAGAGAAAGGAAGGCCAGGCATACGAACTCGTGTAGGTGAAGAGCAAAGCAAAGCAGGCTCCGATGCCATTATTATGAGAAACGATAAAGGTGATTGCTGAATGAGCAGAGAAAGCATTCTTATTCCGCTTCTTTTTCTTGCCACTATTGTCCTTTCTTTTTGTCCTCGTTGAAAAAAACATTTAGAAATGAGTTTAACTACTAAAAATACATATCATTACTCAATTATTAAGGTTTACTATACGTTTCGGGCTGAAGTTATTAAGTCATGATTAAAGACAGTACAAGTGCACATAATGAATAGAAAATATAATATATTTTTCACGTATTCGAAAATCGAAATTAATGTTCATAAACTGCGAGGATTTTCTGACCAAAAACAAAAAAAAAAAACTGTGAGGATTTCTCGGTGGGTGGTGCATTAGCACATGAGAGCGTTGTGAAGATAAAAAAGTAAACAGTGTTATTGCAAGAGCCGAAATGACCGAATTAGACGTTGATGGATCGGTTCGTCATGGAATAAGATGAGGAGCCATCCTAGACCACTTGACAAATTGGGTTGGAGGATTTAATGCCTGCGCGGGAACATATCTTGCAGCCCCTATTGGACTGCTTGGTATTTTCTTTGTTGCTGGGATAAAGAGTACCACAAAATCCAGGTGTTCACTAATTGCGCACAGGCTCTTAATCTCCTTCGTCGTAAAGACTAGAAGTACTAGTCATAGAAAATTAGAAGTACTATTCAACACTCATTTTAAGATGTTATCAATGAGATTAATAGGATATTGTGCAGAGATTGATCTGTTTCAGTTAATTTTATATTTAGGGAGGCCAATTTTTACACTCATTATTTAACTAGTAATGCTCGGAATTGCCTAGATACTTGAATTATTTTTTATCAACTCCCGTCTTAGTTTGTCAAGGTGGTGGTGGATGATGAGAGCAAACCTCCTCTTAATCCTGTCTTGATGTAAGCTGTTTTAGTTTTTTTTGTATCGTTTCTCATTCAAATAAAAAAAATGAAACGACCGAATTACAGGGGGCGGCTGTAGAATTAAAATGGAAGACTAGGGTATTATAGACATTTGAGGACGAAGTGACAGAGGGGCGGGCAAGAGGAGAGGCAGGGGAATATGTGGGAGCGCCCAAAGGCCCCGATAAGCACAGCCGACAATAATCGCCATTCTCTCTGCCCTTTTACTCGTTGCCTTACAACTGTCATATTTTTCCTAGTTATTTTTATGCTCTCCAATTCTTCTTCTTGTTTTTTTTTTTTTTAACTCAGCAATTTTTGTTGGTAACCTTCTTCCTTTTTATTTATAAAAAATTTATGTAAGTTGAATTTTGAGACTTATCAAAAGACAATGCATGTCTCTAAATTCAAATAATATTTATAAAAATATTTATATATTGTTCACCAACAAAATACTCATATCAATAATTAAATCTGATCTTATAACTTTATGAGCTATGATCAAATTTTTACTAATTGAGCTAGCTTTTATTGATTATTATTAAGTTCTACTTATTAGTGATCTTATATGTTCATCATTGCTTGATACTATTTCTGCATATTAATTATGAGCAGTAATTCTGCCCTATAAATAATTTGCTCTTTCTATTGTAAATATAAGTCTTTTGTTATATTTACACATTGATTACAATTATTGATATATAAAAATATTAACTACATGATCAAATTAATTTTTGAAGCTGTCCGAGTGAATGAGAATGTGTGTGTAATTAACAAATACTCCCTCCATTTAAAAATATAAGGCGTTTTTTGAAAAGTTGAATGTTAAAAAATATAAGACATTTTTAATCTTTTGAGGTGTAATCACTGCCTTTTTTTTAAAAAAAGTGCTCATATTAATAAATAATTTTATATTTATTGTAAGGTGTTTAATAGAGGTAAATATAAAAAAATAGAGTTAGTTTGAAAGTAGATAACTACTTTATTAAATTAAATTTTAATTAAAAATATTTTATATTTTTAAATGGAGGGAGTACTAAATTGTTAAATTAAATAGGCCTGTAAAATTTTTACGAAAAAGAAGAGACTTGTAAAATAAAATAGAAATTAATATTTCTCAAGAGACCTCTGAAATTTTGATCTTGATATACATAAAATGTTGAAACTATTATTAATTTAAAATTGTTTTTAAGATCTAATTTGAGACCGCTCACTCTTGCCAACTTTTAACAGCAGTATTCACAGGCTACACTGCTCTAAACACTCCGCACTTTTAATTTTCTCCGAATCACGTTAACACATCGCAACCCTATCTGAATCATCCTAGGTACATGTGACGGCTCATCATATATATTGTTAATTTTTCCAAACAAAATGATAAAAGTATGATTTTTATTAGAAAACATGGTAACTTTGAGAAGAGGGAAATAGGTCAAGATAGGGTCATCACATCATTCTTTAATTTGGAGGCTAATCAGCGAACCATCTCAACAAATCGTTAAGTTGGATCTCCTTTAATTTTCTCGTCCAATGATTAAAAACATGCAACACTCCCTCAAATCAGCCCCGCTTATTCACCCAATCTCGTTAAATTATCATAATCTCATTGATTACGATTAAACAAGCTGCAAACGTTGAATGACATCTCGAGAAAATTAGTAGTAGAGTGGATAGAGGTATAGCGATGAGGATTTGGAATTAGCACCATTCCTTGAAGGTTATGTGTGTTTTGTTTCGCTGGTCATCTGAGTTCTTACACGAGCAGAACAGTAATAGTATGAGAGAGAGAGAGAGAGAGAGAGAGAGAGAGAGTGTGTGTGTGGATATAATAATAGACCAACACGTATTTTTTTAGTTCAAAGAAACCAATTCACTAAGATGTTTGCAAGCGCGTGTACAAAAACTAGAATTTTTTCTTTAGCCGGAAGATAACTACGAACCTTCATCAATCATGCTGGGACACAGTACCATATATTCCTCGAGTTCCAATTCTTTATTTGATATAATTTCATCCATATCTTAAGCAAACTGTTGAGTTCGTTTCGAGAGGCTAACGAAGTTAAAGCAAATCTCACGACTTATTCCTCATATTTGCAACATTATTTAAATCCACAACTTATAGGGGATAAATCACATCCCCACTGATAAAACAATCATTAATTAATAATTGATCTTTTTGTAGTTGGGCCCCAATGATAGAAAAGACTTCTTTTGGTTTCTCTTTTTTTTATACATATCGTGTTGCCTTTTCTTCTTATTACTTTTGTCTGCTATTGATGGCGAGAAAGCAAAACGGCATGGATGAAAGATGCATTTTTTAATTTCCACTGTATGGTATTATTACATATTTACATATGGAGCAAAAAGTGCATTCAGCAGGGCGGGAGGATTTCATTGCTGATTCATGTCCTTTGCCTATTATTTTACTTTCAAGAGTGGAAAAGGAAATCCACTGTGCTCCAAAAGTCCCTGGTCTTCAGTACTAGCTGCTATTAAAGCAAGATCAGAAAATCAAAGAGTTTTCACAGGACACACTTGTTTCAATTAGTAAAGAAATTAGTCTGATTTAATCAGAAATTTTAAATTTAAATTCTGGAAATATAAATGAGTAATAAAGCTTTCACTTGAAAGGTTCCACCCTAGCTTGATACTAAGGATTCATCTGGCCTTATTGAAGTTTCTTTAACTTGACTTGAGATGAGTTTAGAATATCAGGGTGCTCCTTGTTGAAGGAAAGTTTGATTACTAACGTATTATATATATATATATATATATATTTGAGAGTGGTTGCTTGTTAATGGAAGCAAGATTTGATGACATATTCTCACATTCAAAATTCTGTTGATGATCGATTTTCGTAGAGTCAAAGTGAAGCTGCGAGGAAGATCCCAGGGTATTTTGAAAGTTTATAATTTTCTGTGTGCTGTCAATTAAGTTAAATAATTTTATATGAATTGGCTTATCGTGTGTAAAAAGTTACGTGACCTGTGTTTAATGAAATTAAGCAAGAAGATAGGGACCGATATAACTGGGAAATTTAAGATTGATCTGAAAATTATGTGAGATGAGAGAGGAAAAAAATAGGTGGTAGTGAGCTTGGCAAAGGAAATAATTAATTCAATGGGTTAGGTTCTACTTAACTTGAAATAGAATGTCGTGATAATAAAATCTAATTGGAACATATAACTTTGAGTTCGATTAAGAGAAGTAGAGGAAGGCCTTAAAAGAACACTTTTGGAAGTTGTTGAACGCGATCTCTTAATTAATAATATTCCTAAAAGCTTAATAAATGATAGAGCACAATGACGTCTTGCAATCCATATAACCGACTCCACCTAATAGGATAAAGGCTTGTTGTTATTGTTGTTGTTGTTGTTGTTGTTGTATAGAAGTAGGTTGCGAGTTCTTCACGTTAAATATAATAAGAGTACGCATGTAATATAACCATGTAGAGACACAAAATCTTGAACTGGTCGATGTGGAATAAGATTATACAATTGAGGAGTGTTGAAAATTTCGGACGTTGATGATTTGAATTACGATGCTTGACTAATCATATTAAGACAAGCAGACTGTTAATTATAGCAGAGTTTGAAATTTATAAGGAGCAATTAGTAAGTAAAATAATAAATTATCAGCCCACATGATTGATCCAATTATGTCATGTTGAAAGGGAAGTCGGACGCATTGATTTGTCCACGTCACAACTTGTGACGGAAAAAGAGGGAGAGAGATACGCATGGCTTGGAGAAATTAATCAAATAAACTTGACAGCAGCATAAGGTTTGGCTGGGTGAGAATAATTCAGGGACAAATATACAAAAGGCGGAGACATGCACGGTGGTGGATTTTACTTGTTTATGTATTGCGGGTTAGGCACAATGAGTGAGTGATAAGGATGAAAACGGTGAGATTAATTATATTAATTAGGGAGAGCTTTCATGAAAGGGAATGATCGAGAACTCAGTGGGGATATGGAATGATACAATAGAGGCATATGGGAGATGATAATGAAAGTGGCGGGGGACATCAACGTGGGTATTGCTATCACTTTGAAACTCACTGCTTCTTTTTTCTCATGCAAAGGTCACACAACATAACTCCAATTTTATGAAGTTATATGTGTATAATTTAGTCTTGAAATGATCATGCATGATCAATGATTACATGCCGGGCCATCAGTTATGTGATCAAAACATAATTCATAAGTTATGAAGAGCGTGGTTCATTCTTCAGATTATGTCAATAATGTATGCGTATAAACTATATATAACCATGAGAGTTTGCATAAAACTCGTCCGGCAAAGGAAAAAACAGTGTTCTACATCTTTCTATGGGCACATCACACTGCTGCCAGCTAATTTAATAAATACACACTTATCATCTCAGGGGTACTCAGCTTCTTTCTCTTTTCCACCGACCAAACAAGAAGGTTTTACGCGTCCCAGGCCAGCTATATTTGACTTTGTCGTCATTTGATGATTCAAAAATATGAACTGTGTCACGTGGATCACTAAATCAACGGCACAAAGATTTAAATCCCTGCTTATGCATGCCCACCTCAATTATATCCTCATCATTCCACCGCGCCCCCCCCCCCCCCCCGGCCCCGCCCCTTCTTGGTTCTATTTTTTGTGATGTTCTTCTTTTCATATTCGATCAACCTCATGAGCATTAGGCACTAGCTTCCCAGAAAAAAAAAAAAAGGAAAAAACAGGGCGATATGTAATTTCAATTTTAATCTATAAAAAATCGTCTCCCTTACATTCCTTCCCTCAAATTTTAAACTACACAAGAGGTAAATGTTTTATATTTTAAATCTAAAATTGTAGAAAAAGATAAATATAGAAATAGTTTTTAAAAGAAAATTCAGGTAAACGATAGTCTGGGGTAAAATTTATATATCTATGATCTTTATGCAAAATTGATATACAATTATGTCTAGTAAAAATGGTAATAAAAATATGAAAAACATTGCTAGTATGCAGCCCATGAAGCTGTCCTGTATAAAATATCCCCCGACATGCACTTTTTTGCAACAGGCTCCAAGGATGTGGCCCATAAAACAGCCCAAGTAGAAGTCCCCCACCCCCCCAACCTTGACCCTTACCGACGACTAGCCCATTGTTGTTTGAACCTTTTTTGGGCCTCCAGATAGAATTGCTAGGTTCCCTAATGCGAGACAGGAGACTGTTGCAAACATCACCAGCCAACTTTAGAATTTAAGTCTAACCGAAAAAGTTAATCTTCCAATATGATGAATCAACATTTGAATTTCAATTACTAAAAGATACTCTTATTTAATGCTTAACAGTACTCAAATAAGAGTGCCTCCAATATGTTTACTTTCTACTTGCCGACTACTCCTCCTTTAAAAGAGTAAGCTGCTATTTTCCTTTGTTGTTATGGCCGGAGGTTGGTTGTGCCGTGTACAAGGGCATGATTGATCACTTGCCAAAAGGAAACCAAGAATTAGCCGAAGCTGCGGATTTTACACACTGGAAACTATGGCCACAGTCACTCATAAAACATGGTCAAGCTTTACAACCAGAAGTGAAAGACTTGCTACCCCCACACCCCATCCCCAAAAAAAAAAAAAAAAAGTCGTATTTTGATATTTCCCTCTTGAAATCTTAGCCTATCTGGAAATTTCAGCAACGCCAAACGTGGTAAACTATACAGCAACAAAAATTCCTCTCCATGAAATCCTACGACAAGCTCCCTTTATGACGAAACATGATTGGTTCCACACCAAATGTTCCTGCAATTTTAGAGAAATCATTAATAAGAGAAGATTGCTACAGCATCGGAATGTCAACAAATTCGCAACATGGATGTTATGACTCTGATTCCAATCGAGAGATTCAATGCACATGCATGGCATACAGAGACGGACAACTTCAGAAAACAGAAAAGTAAAATAGTACAAGCCAAAAGAGGGTACTGACAGCAAACATCCTCGACGTGGTTTTTTCTTCTTCTCGTTCTGTTTCTGAGGAGGCTTGATGACCATCTTGATCGCGGCATCAAACACCGCCTTCACATTCTATAATTGATTTAAGAATAAGGTCATTAATCTACGTTTGCAGCACAATTTTATATACAGTAACATTTATCTGCAGAAAATGATGACCGTTAAGTGAACGACAGACGCATTCAAAACATCATTTAACACCAACTTTTATTTGCCTTTAATTGCCACTGAATGAGCTCATTCACAGCTAGGACTCGTAAGAGTCGTAACCTCATCTTCTTTAGCAAACAAAAAGTTTTCCACGCACATATTTTTCTGTGCCGTACTTAAAAGTGCTGATGTTTAAGCACTGTGAGGATAAAAATCCGAGTTAAAAATACCTGCTGAGTTTTTGAACTGCACTCAATGTAATAGGTAGCTCCGATTTGTTTACGGAGTTCCTCACCCTGTCATGAATTAGAAAAGACTTGTAGGTTCAGCGAGTTTTGACTATTGAATGCTATGGAACAGCTAGAAAAGAGAGAGATATTGCACCTGCTCAGTAGTCACAGGCACCAGACCAGGATGGTCAGCCAAATAGTACTTATCTTCTCGGAGATCTACACACTCATCATAAATTAAGTATCAATTCTTGCAGAAGTAAAAATAATACACATTTGATAGGTTCATCATTTAGTCATTTCTTTAAGGTATGATCATTTGCTATTGCTTGCATCAAACAAGTTAAAACGAAAGTTTTAAGTCGCAACATTAGAAAAGGTTCATTCCAGAAACAGGTTTAAGTCAATATGACTGTCAAACTTTTTTTTTTTTTTGGAATTACATGGCAAGATATAACTGGAAAATAAAACTAGTCCAAAGGAGATTTTCTCCTCCTATCCTGTCTAGCTGGCAGGAGTCTAAGAAAAATGTAAGGGGGTGCCATAAACAGAACAAGATCCAAGAAGTTGTCATGTTATGACCGTGCTTGGCTAAGCAATGCCTGTCAGACAGTTGAACGCGTGAAAATGGTTCCGATTCTTCTATGAGAAATGATGTTTCTTCAGAAGGTACGAAAAAATGAAGCTCTCCAAGTTAATAAGTAATAACTGAATCAGCTCCAAATTAAGGAGCTTACCAGATTAATCGCCGGAAAATTTTGTTGTTATATTTCTTAATGGTTATTATCTCCATAAACATCTCTCAAAAGAAATTTATCTCTGCTGTGCTACAGTGTGGCAACTTCTCCGTTTACGCTTGACAGTCAACATTCTGCACCATAAAGCCTAACTGAAATTCATTGATTAAATTTGCTCTTAATACTGACATGAGGCTTCTCCAGTGCTCCCTAACATCCAGACTGACTTTCTACGAGCAAATAGAACTTTCACATTCGATGACAGTATGACAACAGTATAAAGAGAATTTATTTGTCACAAGTGTTTATAAAAAAGAAATTTTCTAATCAAAAGACCAAACAGACGAGCATTTAGAAAGCGATCCCCGACTTACCCAATTTGGTGCCTACTAATACCACTGGAACGCCAGGGGCGAAATGCTGGAGCTCAGGGATCCACTGACCAAGGGCACTCAAGTTAGAGAATGAAAGAGAAATCACCAATTCAAGTCAAAGAATCACCACAGAAAACTTACCTTCTTCAGTACATTCTCGTAGCTCGCACGACTAACTAAAGAGAAAGCCAAGACAAAAACATCTGCTCCTCTGTAGCTCAAGGGCCTCAGTCTGTTGTAATCCTCTTGCCCTGCCAAAAAATATTGGATCATAAAAAATTTTCCTATTGGAGGGGAGGGGGGCGGGGGGGAATTTACATTTAGTGAGAATTTTTCCCCCCGACTAATGTTCTTCGGTCTGTATAATTGAAACTACAAGGAATCTCTGTAGATATATACCAGCAGTGTCCCAGAGGCCTAAATTGACAGTGGTGCCCTCAACGACCACATTTGCACTGAAATTATCGAACACCGTAGGGATATAGTCCTGATGATCAACCCCAAGCAGGCTTGAAAACCAAAATTAGATTCCAAAACACAAGCAGAGAAAGATTCAACAGAAGCAAGAATGAAATCCACGGGAAAATTGGGGCTTCTACCCTTCATCTTCTTATCAGAATTAAAAGCAACCCCTCTTTTCCCAGTTCGCCCGCAAGCGCGCGAACGTAAGCATTACGTACATAAAAGAAATTTCATTTATCAAATTATAATGATCTACATGAAAGCTGAAAATTCAGTATTCTTTTACATATTAGGAACCGAAAATAGGGGAAAAAACAAAAAGTCGAAGACTGGAACTGATCTTTACAAAAACAAGATAAGGGAGACATACAGTTGGGAATTTATTGCTGGTATAGCAAATAAGCATGCAGGTCTTCCCTACAGCTCCGTCTCCAACTGTGACGCATTTGATGAACTTTGAATTAGTAGCAGCCATTGAAAGCAACAAGAGAAGAAGCTCTCAGAATAATTTTACAGAGAAAACAAACATAAAACCAAAAGGGGATTTTGCTGGGTTTTACAGGTTGAAGCTTGTGGTTGACTCAGATAAAAAAGGGGAAGAGGTGTGGGTTCACATGGCTCTCACGCTCATTTACTCCTCGCTGCGCCAACTTTTCCCCCTTATCTAGGAGAAGCTGAAGACACGCCGAATTACAAGGAAGCACACTCGGCCAACTTAAATTAAATTAATTTTGTCAAATAAATTGACTTATATTCTTTACGAAATTGTTCCTTAATCTATTAAATTATTCATGATATTTATTAGTATAAATTTTTCTATTAGTGTGTTAATGACTCACGAACACGGCCATATTCGATGGCTTGCACATTAGTGAATTTGTTTGTCAATTACAAACAATCAGAGCATCTAACGTGCAGTTTGAGCTTTTTATACCATGCGACTAATGACTATGATTTATCATTTTCTCTGTAATGGGTCATGTATATGAAATAGGAGCACCTTGAATCTTTAGAAGGCTGGTATATTAGTAAAATAAGATTCAGGCTTGAAGCATGCCTCAATGACCTTGGTGAAGTAACAGTTTTTCATCAATGCATGAAGCCAAGCCATTATTACTTTCATGAGGATAATTGTGTACATAGTACAAGCAATTATTACTTTTTAGTTGACAACATTTTAAAAATTTAATTAATAATAGAGGACAGTGATATATTGCAATTCATCTAGTTGACCTTAATTAGTAGAATAAAACTTCTTGTAACAATTGCTGATTTGCATATAGCCTTGCATTGTTAGTTGCAGCAGTCATATAAGTTGGACGAAGTTAGATGGAGCGGGTCAAGGTTAAGCCAATAACACAGGGGCTCTCTCTCACACATGACTATCAGCATAATGATTATTGTTGCCGCTGTTCTCAACGGCAGCCTCCTAAGTCCTAAGATACGGGTTATAAGTGGCTTTCCTGGTTTATGCATGTCTGCTGGTGAGATTGATTATTTCTCTTTACATTTTGAGGAAACAGAGCACTGTAAAGAGCCTTCATTAAGTTCTAGCGTGTGCGTGTGGGCTTTTCTGTCTGCCATTGCTCGCTAAAAGTAGTGTTGGGAGAAGAAGGCTCTTTCATATCAGAAAGCGGCTAGATTGAAATATTGTCTTATTGTGTCCGTAACGTACACAAAACAATGATTATGTTAAAATATTTGCTTCATCAAGATGACTTTCTAGTAGAGGTCTCCTTTGTGATGATGAGGATGGTTGCTTGTAAACTTTACTTGAGTTCTCATTTTCCTCTTTGGATTGTGCCCACAATACTGTGTAGAACCCGATAACGATTATTATTGCTCCAATAATACTGCAAAATGGGTAGAGAAACAAAAACATACCATCAAATGAAGACAGACGTTATGATTGTCAGTTTTGTGAGAGCCCATAATGAAACATTTTACGAGGACAAAGGATAGAGTTTTACCTGCCAACATAGAGTGTGTCCCCAAGGAAGGCCACACCCATCAATGCAGCAATTGCAATCCCCACAGGCTTGAACATGGCCACAAATACTGGTCCTTTCTTGTGTATGCACCACGTGAGCACAGAAAATGTCACCACACTCCCAAAGATCGCCTGCAAAAAGATTCTCTTATATCAGTGTTCCTCATAGAAATAGGTCAAACAACAAGGGAGAAACTCAATTACACACTAACCATTTGTTAATCAGATCATCTGATGATCTAATATCAAGGTGACAAGTAAAATTTTGTATAGATCAATTCAAAGCATTACATGTTTTCTGTATTATCTGTGTCAATATTTTTTGGGTGCTGCTGATAGATGCTTACTGAATAGATAATGGAGATGAGCTCAATGTCAGGCCTAAGTGTCCATGCATTGGGATCTCTGACTACTATCAGAGAAAGGATGCTGCATTGGATTGTTCCAAAGAGGCAATAGAAGGCCACTATGGTCAACTCAGATGGATATCCTCTAAGAATAGCTGCCTGCAAATATGTCCATTCAACTAAATCAGAATCTATAACCTTAACACTCTTCATCATCACCACTGATAAGTGACGTATCACCTGAGAAATGCTCCAGACTGCAAGAGATAAACCGGCTGTTGCAAGGAAGAGACCCCCAATCACCCAGTTGTTTGTTTGCTCCGACAAGGACTGAGAAGGATTTTCAGGGGAATGAATTGGAGATTTGCCAATGGAAGCTCCCTTGTAAAGGGTCACGATCAATGCTCCCGAGATGGACACCACTGTGCCCAATATTTTCATCTGGCTTTTTGAGCTTCTAATATCTAGCGTCTCCATCCTTGAATGATTTTAACACAAGTCAAATATCCCCTATATCTCGCAGTTCAATAATCTGGATTATGAATTTTCATTTTAGCTTTGACGCTGCTCGTGACAATATAGATTCCATCGAACCCAGTGCCTGCAAAATCCATAGAGGGCAAGAAAAAAAAATCAGAATTACCTGAAGATGACCGCAAGCACAAAAGTGAAGGCTGGAACCAAGTTGCTCATAGCAGATCCGAGAGTGGGCGAGCTGTAGTTTATACCAGTGAAAACACAATTCTGCATCACAGTTATCCTACCGAAAAAAAAAAAGCACCAAAAGTCAAAATTCAATTCTATGTTCCGTTTTACGAAAAGGGAACTAGGAGAAAGAAATCCCCCGCAGAGCTAAGCAGGGAGAGCAAAGTAGATGCAATTAATTACATACCCAACAAGACTGAGGAGGAAGAATTTTCCTAGAAGCGAGAGAGAAAGCGGAGGCCCGTTTTTCCTGAAATGTGAAGAAGAGGAAGTCAAAATGATAGTTATGGAGTGAATCAGCAGTTGAGAGGAAAAACATGAAAGGGGAAAAAAGATGAAGTACCTGTTGAAGAAGAAAGAGGAAGGAAGGAGTATGGCTGAGGCGAGGGCATTTGAGTAGACGACGAAGACGAAGTGGCTCATTCCTCTGGACATGGCTGCTTTACTTAAGGTGGTCATTCCCACGTCCAAGCACTCCACCATCACCATGGCTACAAATGGAATCGATTCCAACAAGAAGCGCTTGAATTCCATTTGCGCTCTGAGAACTGAATCTCCTGCTTCTGAGGAACAGGATCACCAGTGTCACTCCGGATCTGTGATACAGTCATCCAGCCAGTTTCTCACCCTTTCCTTTCGAACTCGGGTCTCATGGCTTGGACGAGTAAGATTTTTTTAAAAAATATAATTTTCGAATCACACGGTTTATTTAAAAACATTATTAAATCCAACCTTAAAAACCTGAAATAATAAATTATATGTGGAATTATTTGCTGTGGTTGGATTTAAATTTTAATTTAATTTTTTGAAAACACAATTTAACTTTTATTGTCATATTCTATTAATGCAGAACATTATCTTATATGTAAGTATAGTATATAATTAACTGTGATTCTTGTAGATTCGTCATATCATGTGTCATTTTATACTTTTTAAGAAAACAACAATCTTTTGTTGTTTATTTTTTATTGTTTTCTTATATGTTACGTACGTACACGCGCTATATGATTGTGTCGCCACTCACCAGTAGGATTGAGAATATCTTTTTTTAATAGAAAGCCAAAAAAAAAAAAAAAACGTGTAAATGGACAAACTAAGTTATGCCTGCATATAAATATTTAATATTTCTACAATAAAAAAGCGGGCCATTAAAAATCTGAATATTTAAATTATAGGAAAAAAACTTAATGGACCATCTAAGATACACATTTATTTACCTCTTTAAAAATATATTTAAAAGTGACCGTTCAATCTCACATTAAAAATTCTCTGACTTTATTAATAATTACAGCTAAAAAATAATTACTAAAAAATTCATTACATATTAGTATAAGTATTTCAATAAAATTTGAATAGAAAATGACTTTATTAGACTTTTCAACCCAATAAATATTAAGTCTTTTAAATATGCCCATAAGTTTGATTGCAGTGATAACAAAAAAATTTAGTAAAACTTTTGATTCAATTGTCTTGATTATTTCGAATGAGTCTGTCACAAAAGCTACCTCTTAATTATTAGCAGAGCCATATATATCAAGTCTTATCTAATTTTTTTTTAGGAAAAAACCATTTAGCTTTTAATCTATTTGTTCAGTCAAAAAGTTAATTCTAAATTGAAAGTATTGATCACTGAAAACATCTTAAAGCCTAGCAAAAGCAATGTCTCTTTCAAAGGTAAGTATAACTTTTTAAAAACAATACGGAATATACGTTGCTCTTCCACTGGCCACTTATAAAATTATTTTCCCATTATAATCCCGCGCAAGTAGAATAATTCTGAGGCTATTACTAATTTGATTTACAATTAATTTGTAGAAAGATATTATACATAATTAATAATATGCATCAATAAAAGAAACAAAGCTAGTCATTATTATAGATCCGCGCTTATACGATTTTTCATAAAAGCTGAATGTTGCACCTAACAAACCACGTGATTAATCCGAACCCGCCTGCTGAACCCAGCCACTTGATAAAATGTTGATGATAGACACGTTAGACTGTTAGTTGTGTGGATCGATTTATTTCAGGTTACTTCCCCGCCGCGTGTGATGAAGTTGGATGCTGCTGGGAAATAAAAATAACATCAATTTAACAATAAATTATTATGAATATTTAACATCTAATATAAAATTTATAGTGAGCTGTATTATTTGTAGGCCATAAATACTGTCATTTATTTTTTGATTTCATAAAGAATAAAAAATTCAGTTGTAATGAAATAATAGAGAAAAATGCAGTCTTGTTTTAGTTATGTATAATTTAGGAATATAGGATTAGCTGTTTTATTTTTCCCTTTTATTCCTCGTTTTTTTCATTTTGAATTCACTTCTCATTATTATATGCCTAGCGTCCCTGACCTCTATTTTTTTTTTTTTTTGCCAAAAAAAGAGCCCGTTTTATTAATTAAAAATGTAAAGCCCATTATCTGCAATAAAAAAACACTAAAAAAAAACTTATATACAACCTAACACATAAAACTCACTAAAACAAAACAAAAACAACAACAACAAAGAACACAAAAAAGAATTAACATTAATTTCAAACAAGAAATAAGAATTTTAAAATTCAGAATTTAAAAGAATAAACAAATGCGGTTGAATAAGAGACCTCTCTCCTTTTCTTTACACCAATTTCATGGCATTGAAGGATTGATTAGTATTTCGTTAAAAAAACAAAAGTAGACATTTAATTGTCTAATTTTATATAAAATTTTAGTTTAGCTCCTTAATCTTATAATTATTTTTCATTTAATTTATTTTTCAGTCATTTAATCCTTACATCATTAATTTTAAATAATTATTTTTACATCAATCAATATTATTTAAAAATATTAAAATTAATACATTAATATTAAATTTAATGTTGGTATTTTTTATTATTGAAATTAATGGTATTGGAATTAAATAATTAAAACCAAAATTTATAAAATTTAAAATTAAAATAAATTGTATACAAAATTTAAAAAGTAAATGTGAAAGAAATTGATACTCCCATCTGTTAAAAAATATAAAGTATTTTTAACTGAATCTCGTCCTCAATAAATAGTTACATACTTTTCAACTAACCCCATCTTTTCATATTTGCCTCTATTACATACCTTACAATAAACATAAAGTCATTATTAATAGATATTTTTAAAAAATAATAATTATATCTTAAAAAATTAAAAATATTTTTATTTTTAAATATTTAATTTTTAAAAAAATATTTTATATTTTTAAAAGAGAGAATAGTAAGTTTTCTTAAAATTAGTAAAGAATAATAGATTAGGAACTTTTTATAAGGATACGCTGCTAGCCCAAAACGTTTGACGGGCCCAAATTGTTTAAGTACACGACGTGGCAGAGATTTTTGTTTTTGGTAATCTCTGCTGAAGCTGATTGCGCATTTTTCTTTTAAGCTTTTTCCTCCGTCAAGCCCAGATTCCAAAATCTAGCTGAATTTCTCCATCCGGGCGCGCCTTCTGTAAAGAATAATTCACACAAGTATTTGTGTTTTTTCTTTTTTTTTTTTTTCAGTTTTTGGGATCAAGAGGAGAACACGAAATTCACTGCTTCATCTGCTTGCTTCGTGCTTATTGGCAATAGCGTTTGCCTCGCTTCCGAATTTTTAATCAAAGCTCAACCTAATTTCGTTGTTTTTCCTCGATCAGTTTTCATTTTGCTTGTGGAGAATATGGGTAACGCTGAACCCAGTTTGCAGGGTTTGTTGGAAGAGAAGAAGCGAGTTAGGAATCCCTTAGTCCCCATCGGTAAAAAAATCTCTTTCGCTTTCCTCCCCTCTTATATTTTCTTTATGTTTGTTTGGTTTATTCACGTTTCCTTTCTAAATTTATAGCTTTCTCTTGATTGAATTTTATTCGTGGAAAAAAAAAACGGTTGATATGGAAGTTCGTTTTATCTTTGATGATTCGCTTAATCAAAGGGAAAGAAGGAAGAGCGTTCAGAGTTTGAAATCTGAGCGGCATATTGTGGAAGGAGTTAGTAGTTGCTGAAAGGCGCATGTTGATTACTTATAATGGAGTTGGAAAAAATGAGTGGGATGAAAAACGTTGCAACCTTGCTGTGAGCTTATTTGTTTAGACTGAGAAACTAAAATTTTCTTTAGCTTTTGCCTTTAGGCCTATTTCTAAGAAACAACTCATTAATTTTATAAATTGTAGGCCTGGAGGCAGTATTTGATTTGCTGGCTTTTCAACAGTTAAGGACCCTTTTCAGAATGGTGAAGCTTTTAGCCATGGTGCTTTCTTGATATCAACCGATACAAATCGGTGTTTGATAAACATTTATAAAAGATGCTTCATCGCTCAGTAGCGAATGCCACATGCGGTTATAAATATCACATTAGGAGATGATGTATATAACTGTTGTAGCCGTGAAAATTAGAAGCTCCTTAAAGAAGTCTTCAAATGTAACAACGTTTTTAGATACATAAAATGGTTTACATCAATATTTAACCGGGTTCTCAACATCGTTGTCTTGTATAGGATCGGCCAAGGGGCCAAAGAGATCGTTGCTAGTTGACACAGTATGGCAAAAAAAATTAAAAATACATATTTACTTGAGTAAAATTCATAGGATAAGCATGACAGTATCAAATCAAAATCTTATCCAACACAGCACAGTTCGTGAGCTGCAAATGTCATGAAGCTCAATACAATAAAACAATTTGGACGTTATAAAGTGACTAATCTATATATTAAATTAGCCACTTCACTTTGTTGTGTTGTGTTGCTATGAGCGGTGTAAGAACTGGTTTGATACTTCATACTTGAATTTTTTTTCTTAAAAATGGTAGGTTTCCAAGGTAGAAGCATAAGATCAGAAAAGCATCGGATTGGACAATTAGGATTGTGAATCTAATATTATCTTGGTAGTTCTGATCTTATTAAGGTTCGGCATCTTAATACATGATTCCCATTATTCTTTTGGTCATAAATTTGGTTATCAAGGATTCTAGATTGATTATCTCTCTACCTTTTGAGAAAATGGGATACCAATGCTCCTATGACGTTGCAAACTGTTGTGCATGGAAATTGAATATAATCACTTCCAAATTAACGACATGATGCGGACCATTAGTTGCTAAAGGTTTTAGGAAGTAGATCTCATGATTTAGGTTTTTCTGCTCTGAGATGGAAGAATTGAACTCTGTCAGTTTATCATGACTCTGAACGCGATGGGAAATAAGTATTTTCCTGGACCATCTTTCATCCTGCACGCCAGCATGAAGGAAGATTTATTATTTATTATTTGCCTCAAGAAGGGGTCATCAAGGGAATTGAGTAATTTCTAATTACTCCTTTCTTTTCTGAACATGCAACGTGGTAGACATTGGAGGAACTCCATTTTTCCAGTGCTTAATGATTGAAGATGATTCTTATTTAGTTAAGAGTTCTGAGTTCTGACATTTTTGATTTGATGTCAGGTGCACTTGTTACTGCTGGTGTACTCACGGCTGGCCTGATCAGTTTCAGACAAGGTAATTCTCACTTGGGCCAGAAGTTAATGAGGGCTCGTGTTGTTGTCCAAGGTGCCACCGTGGCCCTCATGGTTGGCACTGCATTCTATTATGGAGATAATCCCTGGCAATCGAGTAAAACTATTTGATTGCTTTGTTCATTTCGGTTTGTCTTGCCTGTGACGTGTAATGTTGATTTTGGGTCTTAAAGGACCCAGTTCCTTGCCTGCATCGTATTTCTTTCATTTCTACAAGAATGAATACACCCTTGGATCTTCTCCATACTCTCTCTCAATGCATCTCTTCATTCTACCCATTTAATTATTCATTTAATTTAATGGTGTGTTATTGCTAGATAATATTAAAATAAATATAGTATTCATTTAATATTTATCATCAATAACAATTAATAAGCGTTATGACTTTATTTTTAAAAGCATTTAAGTGATGATAGTAAGTAATGTATTTATTTTAATATCACAATTAACAATCTAACGCCATTAAATCAAAACAATAATTAAATAAATGAATAAGATTGAGTATTAAAAGATGAATTGAGAGAGTGGATAAAGAAGATTCAAATTTGTCAGAAGTATTCTTATAAGAACTAGTTCGTGCTAATTGCCTAATTGTGATACTATTGAGGTGATAATTTGGTATCAAGATCGGGTAAACGAGTAATAAAAACCGCGAATTATTTTTTTATTTGTGTTAGACAATTAAATACAACATACCATTTTACTTAGGGAAGAGGTGTTTTTTATTCTTTTCCCGGCCTGGCAGTTAAGGGAAAGTTCGCAAAATGTGATTGTTATATAAATTAAATTTTTGTTACTGTTTGTTTTATTTAGGGACACCGCAAGTTACTGTTCAATTGCTTTTGGCCTTTTACTTCCTTTCTTTGGACGGAAGAGGAGAGGGATTTGATTCTTACAATCTCAAATAGCAAGATACACCACTCTGTACTTTTCTCTCACCCCCCTTTTTATCCGTCACTCCTAGATCTCTTTCTTTACTTTTCTATTATCTCGCCACACCCTCCTCCCTCCCTCCATTCTTACTCTTCCTCATCACTCCTTTCTTCTCATCTCACACAGACTCATTACGCCTGAGATATACGTATCTATCCGTAGAGTTCTTTTTAGGGAAAATGACATTAAAATTTATCTGAATTGTATAAATAATAATTTAATATCTCAAAATGTCATAATTTTTTTAAAGTCTTTAAGACTTTTTTATCATTAATAAACTTATATAAATTATTAAATTGTTTTTGTTGAAAATAAATGATTCACATGTTTTATTTAAATGCTCACAACTTTCCTTCTTATATTTGCAATAATGTAACAACAAATAATTAACATGTAAAGTTGTGATTTGTTGTTATATTGTTACGGATATAAGAAGAAAAGTTATAAGTATTTAAACAAAATTTGTGAATAATTTATTTTCAACAAAGGTAATTTAATAATTTATATAAATTCATTGACGACAAAAAAGTCTTTAGAAATTTCAGAAGAATCATTACATTTTGAGAGATTAAATTATTATTTATACATTTTATAGGAATTTTATTGTCATTTTTCCTTCTTTTTATTTCTCCACCAATCCACCGCCATTAACATAGAATCTGTCAGAGGCTTGAGAATACTTTCTTCTTGACTAAATCTCACCTTTTAATAAAATAATTATTTATTTTAAACTAACATTATTATTTATTTATTTTTATTTAATAAAGTGTTTCATTTTAAACTAAATATATAATGATTTATTTATACTAATATTTGTGAAATAAATATAATAATTACATCTTAAAATATTGAAAATGCCTTACATTTTTAAAATTTAATTTATTAAAACATATTTTATATTTTTTAAAGAAGAAAATATTTTAATAATATAACCTGAAAAATTTTATCTCAAGAGAGAGTTGACTAGTAACATCTTAATATTTCAGTCCAATATTTTTAGGAAAAATATTATTCAAGTATCATGGAAATAATTTAGCATAAAACAAGGATTAAAATTTTTTTTAAAATATCACTATAGGATCAAAGACTAATTTTAAAAATAATTTTATATGGGAAGAGATTATAATATTTCTGTTTTTGTTTTTCCTTTTTAAAACTTGTAACTAGTTAATAGTTTCTTGTTAAATGTAAAATGTGAATGAGTACTTGTTAATTAACGAATAATTACTTGTGAAAATATAATTTATACTCGTTCTTATTTACAACTAAGTTTTTTCAAATTCTTGAACTTGTAAATTAGTGAATAATTTTTTATTAAATGCACATGAGCATTATTAATTAACGAATAAGTACTTGTTAAAACATGATCTACATTTATCCCTTTCAATAATCAAGTTCTTACATATTATTAAATTTGTAACGAATAATTTCTTATTAAATGCAAATAGATACTTATTAATTAACAAATTGTTACTTGTTGAAACATAATTTACAATTATCCCTTCTTACAACTAAGTTTTTTTAAATTTTTGAGTTTGTCAATTAGCAAATAACTTCTTGTTAAACACAAATGAATACTTATTAATTCACAAACTTGTTAATTTAAAAAAAGGTAAGGTAATCTTTTCTTATTTAAAATTATTTTCAAATCAACTCTTTAATCCTACAGTGATATTTTAAAATTTTTTAATTCTTAATTGATATTAAATATCGTTAATGATCCTCAAAAGATATTTTCTCATACTTGTATTCTTTGGGAAAACTCTGTTATAAAGTACTAAAAAATTTAAATTCAAAAATAATTTATTTTAGAAAAACTTTTAATGAATGGCTATGGAACCATGGTATGACTTTATTTACCCCTACATGTCCCCTTGTCATAGAACTACTCCGTTGTTCTATAATTAATGGGAATGATCTGTGGCAAAAGTCTATTTAGGCATTGGAATGATGGGAACCACTTTGAATACTCATCATCACGACAAGTCGCCAAGGCAATAAGATTTAGACCGTCCATATTTTTTAAAACCTACATTTTCTATTTTTATTAAAGTAAAATTTATAAAAATAGTTATTTATTAAAAAAATAATAAATAACTATTGAACCATGGGATGAATTTATTTACCCCCCGTGCATGTCCCCATACCATATAACTACTCTTTTGTTCTGTAATCAATGGGAATGATCCAAGGCAAAAGTTTGTTTGGGCATTGGAATGATAGAACCACTTTGAATTCTCATCATCATGGTATTTGTCAAGGTGATAAAATATGACAAATTCGATGGTCCATATTTAAAGGCTATATTTTTATTTTTATTAAAATAAAATTTATAAAAGTTAAATTATAAATTTTTATTTTTTAAAATCTAATATTAAAAATAAATATTATACAAATTGGCACTTTCAAAAAAATATTTTCTTAAAAAAATTTATGAGTTAAAAATTTTAAATCTAAACTATTCAAAGTATATCTAGATAATTAATTTATAAAAAATTTAACAACTCATAATATTTATTTGAATTATCTAGATTAAATATATATTTATTAAAATTTGTTTATTTTTTATTTTAATACAAATAAAAAAATCATTTAAATTTGGATTGTTTGAATTAAAATATGAATAATCTAGATTTTATCATCCGATAAATGTCATGGTGGCTGGTGCTGATCATCACGATGGGCATTGAAACTAGTTACTGGAATGATGTGAACATAAGCTATTAAATGAAAGTTCAAGTTGCAAAATCATATGAAGAGTCACATGGCTTACGTCAATAATAGTTATATTGAAAGTAACAGATTCTTCTTAAGTAGAGTCGGTGGTTCAAAATTTCAAACTTTACATATTAAAAAATCATATCAAGAAAATTGCTGTAATTATATGTTACCAAATTTTGTAATAGATATTATTAGTGTGTCGTCATATGAAAAAAGAATCACGTGCTTCACTTAGAGAGAGGGGGAGGGGGAGTCACGTAGCTTACTTATGAATTAATCACACTTGGATGACCCATCATCCCATTCCATTATTCTCCGTCAAGGTTGTTGGACACTATTTATGGCCTCTCTCCCCCCCCCTCCTTGGGAGGACATTATGACTCGTGACTCATGATTTCATTGTGTTGCCACGTTTTTTTATTTAGAGTTGAGGTACGAATTTGTTTTTGATATTTTCACCTAGAGGTACCCCATATTTTAAACTATTTTTTGCCAATAATTTTACCCACAATATTTTTTATTTATATACAATACTTCCTGTTACTCTGTGTTACTTGCTTAACTAGCTTGCCCATTAGCATGCCACGTTGACAATTTTTTTTTTCATTGCCGCATCTTCAGTTTTCTTCTTTGAACATTTTCTCCCAAAAAAATCTCTCTTCCTCATCCCAAAATTACCGCCGAATCAGCTCTTCTTCCTCACCCCAAAATCACCCCCTCGCCTTCTTCGATTACGTGTTGTTGTGTTGTGAACCTCTCACTTTCATTTTGCTGCATGATCACACACTGAGACCTCCATTTACTCTCCTAATATTAGATTGATTGAAATGGATAATGAACAGCCTTCAACGACTTCCAGGAAAAGGGGAAGAGGAGCCAAAGCATTGGCGCTTTCCAAAGTTGAGCTCGATTCATTTGTTATGGGGACGGGGGGTTTGATTTAACTGGTCAAGAGTTAGGTTGGGTTTGATTCTAAGTTTTATGATTTTGGGTTCGATTGAAGGGGTTTGATTCTGGGTTCTAGGTTCTTTGAAATAATCAGATTTGAAATAAAAATTCACCTAAATTTGAAAATAATTAGATCCGTTCGTCACTCCACTAGATCCATTTGATTACGAGTTTTTGGGTTTCTAGGCTTGATTGAAGGTTTCTAGCTTGCTTTCTACCCAGGCAAGCAACCTTTTTGAGGATCTGGATTGGATCGAAGGTTTCTTGGTCCTTTGATTCCTCTTCAACGACAATCAAATATGATTTTGGGTTTGAAGATTGATTTTGGATGCTTCATCTTCTCTGGCTATTTGTCAAAAGATTTAATCCCAGCTTGTCTATTTTGTTGAAAAATATGGAGCTTATTGGGATGTTGATTTTGTGGTTGTGGATTTGGAATTTTTTTGCGTAAATGATGTTATGGTGGATCTAGAATTTTTGTGTGAATGGTGGAATGTCATTTTTTGGGTTCGATTTGTTCATATGTGTTTTGGGTGAATCTTACTTTTTAGTGCTTGATTTCCCTTTTCATTGCCTATCGAACTCATGACTTGCTAGTTGCAGGAACAAGAAGAAGAAGAACGGTTGAGGAGAAAGAAGAAACAAGAAAGATTGATTTCTTTCAAATTTGAGTTGACTGTTTTTCTTTTCTTTTTTAATTTTTAATTATTAAAACATGTCATGTGGCTGGCTGGCTGCCAACATAATAAGTTGAGTTCAAACTAACGATCAACATAATTAGATTTTGACAGTTGGACGTGATTGTACCTAAATAAAAAATGTTAAAATAAAATTGCTTTAAAAATATTTTAAAATATGGGATGTGCTTGAATGAAAATATCAAAAGCATATTCATACCTTGACTTTTTTCATTTATTCACCTCATTTTTTGAACATGATGAGGACATTATATGACTTTAGAGTCCTTCATGTTGCCACGCTTTTTACGATATAGTCGTAGACGCCAAATATATGAAAAACTGTCAAATGCCCATAATCAGTTTGTTTCCCACTTCTGTTTATCATTATTTTCTCACCCATTTTTGACAAAATCTCCCTTCCTTTGTAATTTGTGTCTGATACAATTATCTATTTTATAAATTAAAATTGTTTTAAGAAATTAATTTTTAATAATATAAATTAAAATTAAAATTATATTTTATGTTTTAGCTTTTAAAAATTTAAATTTTATTTTTTAGTTATATTTTGTTAATTTTATGGGTATTATTTAGACGTGTCTTTTTACCTGTGATGTTAAAAGAATTAGTTATTAATTTTTATTTTTATTTTGATTTAGAGAGGTAATGATGATAAATGGAAGACATTTTTTATTTAAGTTACTACACATATAAGGATTGAGATTCATTCCCAACTAATCATTCGCATGTTCTTATCTTATCATACACGCCAATTTTAATTGGCTCTAAAATAATTTATATAAAATGTTAGTCATATTTTTCATATATTATAAAATAAATTGTATGAAAATAAAATAAAATATTATTTATATTTGTATATTCTAATAAATAAAAAAATTATTATGTTGCACTAGAAATAAAAAAATAGTTAATAGCAATTGTTAAAGAAATTAAAAAATGTAGTCATTTTTATTTTTCATTTTTTAAAAAATAATTAAATTTAATTTTTACTATTCTCCTTTTCATTACTCTTAAGTAATGTGGATTAATGTTTTGTGCAAGGCACGGGGTATGAAATTTAATTAAATACAAATGTCAAATTCAAAGTCAACAAAAAGTCTAACACTAGTGTAAATATTCTTAACGAAATCTAATACACGGAATACCATTTTGTCACCCTTGCTTGAAAATCCTAAATGCATATCATACTAACGTAGTATAATTTTTTTACCCAAATTTTCATTTTTTTTTAAAATCTAGCATACCAAACATAACCTTGACACTATGCTGAAGATATCAATCCCAGCAAAACCTTAAGTTGGATAAAAGAAAGCGTACATGAGGAAAGAAAGTTACACATTTTCAAATGATTTGATTTTCTTTTCAAATAATAAGGTTAGCTGGCCACTTGAAGGGCGTTGCGGATTTTTGGTGCCTACAACAACCTTGCACTACATGAGAAATAGTTTATCACTTACTTTTTTTTATTTAAAAGTATAAAGTATTGTTTAAAAAGTTAAATATTAAAAAATATAAGATATTTTTAATCTGTAAGGTACAATCATTATTTTTTTAAAGATATTTTTATCAATGAATAATTTTATATTTAATGTAGGTGTTTAATAGGGATGAATATAAAAATATATAGTTCGTTTGAAAATAAATAACTACTTTATTAGTGTAAATTTGATTAAAAATATCTTATATTTTAAATAGAGGGAGTGCCTATTACAACATCATTACCTGTTTATTTTTAATTTAAAATATTTTTCAACACAAAATCAAAACTTTTTAAAAATAAGATCCCAAGCTTAACCCTTGACATACGGGGATAAGTGTATATTGCTTCGTCCGATCCTTTTTATACATACCTTTTAAAATATTCTTAGTCCTCTTTACAAGAGTCTTTATACATTTTTAGAAACATTAAATAAATATTTGGTTTTTCTTTTGGTAAAGAATATTTGTTTTTCCTAAATATCCTAACTTATGTAGAAAGATATAAAACTGCATTATTTACTTAACTAAATTAAGGAACGGTAATTTTAGAAAATGATCAAAAAAACTGACGTGTTTAATAAAAATAATTAATTTAATTTTTGTGAAATCTGCTGAACATCTCTTATATAAAGAATTGTTGGCCAAAAAATCTCTTATGTAAAGAACTGGAGAAAATATTCTATTTCGCCCACCCTATTTTATAAAATATTATTAGAAGTGATTTGATGTTTCATAATGTAAAAAATTTTAAGAATAATTTATTAATAAAATTTATTTTTATTATCTCACAATTTAAATATTTTTATCTTTTTATTAAATAAAAAGCATTTTTAAAAGTTTATATTTTTTAAAAAAATTAAGATTACATACTGTACTTAATTGATTTGATCTTTGTAAATCTTAATTTAAAAACGTCCTATAAAATGAGATCGGAAATTGTATTTGAGGTATTTTAAGTTGGTGATATCGGGAAGAACATTAATTATTATTTAATTAATTATAATTAATAACTGGTGAATGGCACGAGACTTGCATGCCACGTCTCAGGAACACTTTAAGAACACGTGCATTGGGCCACGTCGATATTCTTTCACCAGCAGCGGAGTGCTACATCACCCCGAGGCCTGAGTCCCTATATACGTGTTCCTCCTCAACTTCCGATCCCTTCCCTTCCACTTCCCTTTTTAAAATTCACTTCCTCTATCCATCTCGCCTCTGTTTCTTCCATTCACTCTCTCATCACAACCCCAATCGTCCAACGCCTCCCGAAATTCCTCATTTTTCCTCCCCGGAAATCTTACTCTCTGCTGCAAGGTGCTATCGATTTTTCCTCTCTTTCTCTTTTTTTTTTTTTTGCATTTTAAGCATACTTGTACGATTGCTGCTCCCTTTTTAGTTAACTGGGTTCACGGTAGATCTTTGCTTCCGATTCTATGTTCGTTCATTTTTTCAACAGGGGGTAATGCATTCTCTATTGAGAGTGCTCATAATTGATTATCACACAGATGCCTTTTTCCTTCGTCCGAGTTCTTTGTTTTATTTTTTTTTCTCAACCATTTTGGCTGCTGGGAAATTGATCAAAGTAAAACATGAATATCCGAATTTTCATCTGTGTTGGGAATCATGGAGGTCGTCTGGGGATAATTTCGACATTTTAATATTTGTCCTTTGTGCTTGTTTTTGTATTGACTGGCCGCATTGAGGATCACGGACTATGTATGGCATTTTCTTGGTCATTTTTGGTGGCTCATGATGCCTTTGCATTGTTTAATGTTGTTTTGAAGAGCAAAGGCAGTATAAATGATTCTTCTTCGGGCACCCTTTATCCTCTCAAATTTTAATGATAATGTTATGTTATGTTATGTTTGTATCACCGTAATACATTGGTTCAGTAGTCAAGTTTATAATGAATTCCCTTCTCCCTAATATATGACGTAGTATCTGCCATTTTATAGGAATTGTGATATGAACAAGAAGAAAGGAACAAAATAATTTCTGTCGTGATAATTTATGTTATTCCTTGTTGTGGGCACTGGCTTTAGTACGACACACGAGTCATTTTTATTTCTTGAATGTAGTTTGAGAAGCTTCAAAGCGCTATCAGTTCTGTACCTTCTATAATCTAGAGCCCATCTTTTCCTTTTTTCACTTTGTCATGATAGTTGTTCCTTGCACTGGGGTTGATGTGGATAGTTTGTCAAAATCACTCTATATTTATTGATCCATTTGGTTTGTTTTACTTGAGGCGTCTTGTGAATGGACTGAAATCATTGATTTGATTTATTCAAGGTCCTGTCCTTTAAATTTATCTAATGTTCAGATTCTGTAAATGTAAGTCTTGTCTGTTTCTTAATGATATGAAGGTGCCAACTTGTTTATAATGTTGTACAGCAAACAAGCAATCTATGGGCCCAACTAAAGCGAAGTATTTGACTGTGACAATGTTTATTTGCTATTCATATTTCAGTTCATTTTTACTGATATGTTTTCTTTTCATGGTCCACCTCTCTTGATTTTGGTCTTGGCAACTCATAAATTCTTAGGTTTTTTGCTCTTAGGATTTTCTGCTTGTTTATCTGATATATCAGCGCCTTCTGAATCTTTGTGGGCAGCTGAATGCATTATTCTGATATATTGATCGATAGCAATAAGTTCACATATCCCTTGTCAAACCTTTTAGTCTATTTCATATATCTACATTTTTGCTAAAAGCTTCAATGTCCTTGTAGCAGGTTGAAAAGTGCCATTTGATCAAATTAGAATGTCATCTCCAAGTAAGAGAAGGGAAATGGATGTGATGAAATTGTAAGCAGGCTGTTTTAATTATCAGTTGATAGTTATATACTTCTAATTTAATTAAATCTTGATTCATTTCTTTGCAGTTGATGGTAATTGTTATATGACCAAATCTGATTAATTAATAATCAATAACTTTTAGCTCGTTAATATGGTGGGAATCCTCTAATACCTGTTGAGTTGTAGTTTGATATCAAACCCAAGTTTGTTATCAGAACTTCTTTTCTTTTCTTCTTTTTAAAGTTAACGAGTTTTACTTTTTGTGGGAGACTTAGCAATCACATGTGAAGAGATTCTTCATGCTTTTCTAAATCCTGAATCTGCGTTAAAGTAGAAATTACTCAATTCGACTCTGCTTTTGTTAATGTCTACTGTGAAATGTGAAGGCAGCAATACCTTCAAACAGCATTGGAGGCATGACAGTGTAACTGCTTGTGAAGTAGTGCAGTCATTTCAGAGCTAAAGCAATGATTTAATAAAAACAAATAGAAGTCAAGAGCATTAGTTGAACTTATATAATAAAAATTAATGACAGAAGTGAGGTTTTGCTGTGCTTCAATTGATTTGTGTGTGTGTGTTTTGTTTCATTTTGTGAAGGTAGTGCCAAACTGAAAGTGAGTGGACCTTGGCATGATTTCTCGTTACTAGAATTACCTCCTACCCCTCCATTTTGTTTTCCTTCTTTCCAAAAGGAAAAAAAGTAACGAACTAGCCCCTTGCATTCTTGGTGGTTGTGTCATGAATTCAGCATCTTTTTATTTGGCGTTGATTCAATATTGTTTTTATTGATTATGGCCCATCCGGTGATGCATTGTAGGAGTGTCCAGGTTAGATGCAGTTTAACCTGAAGGGATTTAACTTAAAAAATATTAAGGGATTTAAAAGGATGCAGGTAGACGATATTTCTAATTGATATTATTGAGAGGAATTTATATTCAAGTGTTGTCCATAAACCTAATTGCAGCATCTAGCAGAAAGATGAATGAGATAATTTTAATTCAAGTGCAATTTAAAAAGGGTGAGGCTTATCTATTTAGACCAAAAAGTAAGGACAAAGGTTGGCACTTTTGAGGGGCTTCATACTGCTCAAAGAATACACTATTGTTACTGGGCCAAAAAAGCATATGCAATTACTCATAGCACGTGGTTTAACTTTCGTTCTGTTTTATCTAGTAGGGGAATTGAGGTTGATGTGCTTCTTATAAACTGCAAAGATTCGATGCTACCCACTTTGTTTGTATTTGCACATGCATGAATACGCATATATTTGCATTTGATGGAGACATTGAAAATCTTCATGGTCATGCCTTTTAAATATTTATTCCTTTTTCCAGGATGATGAGTGACTATACAGTGGAGACAATAAATGATGGGCTCAATGAATTCAATGTGGAGTTCCATGGTCCAAAAGAAAGTACTGTTATTTCTAGAACTTACTTTATCGTTTATTTAATGATGCTACGCATAAGCCTGAAGATTTGCTTTCTGATCGAAATCTTGTTAGACAGAGATATACATCTTGTTTTTAGAGAACAGAAAAGAAAAAAGGTCTTATCCATGTACTGGAACTTGTGTTTACATGATATTTGAATGATTTGTCTTGCCTTTAAATATGTTGATTTCCTGATTGCTAAAGAGTTTTTCGAGTTCATGGACCATTAGAGAAGTCTTTCAGTTTTATCTATGATTTATAATATACGTCACAAATCCAATTGTTGTAGGTCTTTATGAGGGTGGAGTCTGGAAAATTCGTGTTGAACTTCCTGATGCTTATCCGTACAAATCCCCTTCTATTGGGTTTGTGAACAAGATATTCCACCCAAATGTTGATGAGCTGTGAGTACTCTGTTCAGCAGTCTCTAGCATTATTTCTCTTTTTTGTTGCAATAAACCCTTTTGAAGAGGAGGGGAATGGAATTCTATTGAAGTTTAAGTACTAGCAACAAATTGATGATCTAAAGGCTTAGGCTTGTGTTACCGTTGGTTATGCTTACTCTCCTTTGCATATTTCTTTAACTGCAGATCTGGCTCTGTATGCTTGGATGTTATTAACCAATCATGGAGTCCAATGTTTGGTAATTATCAATTCTTGGCTGTTGATGTTTAAAGTTATGAGCACCAGGCATGATTACCATCTATCAGTTTTTTATATACGTGACTGGGACTTCTTGCAAAATTAATCTGATTCACTTTTACCATTTATTTTTGGTAGATGACCTTGTTTTTTTATCCTCAGATCTTTTGAATGTATTTGAAGTGTTTCTTCCACAACTGTTGCTTTATCCGAACCCTTCAGATCCTCTCAATGGTGATGCAGCGTCATTAATGATGAAGGATCAAAAGCTGTATGGTCAAAAAGTTAAGGGTAAGCGTATAGTTTTTATGGGACAATTTTCTGATACAAAGAAAAAGAAAATTAGGAGCCTCGATGCTATCTTCGCTCAAAGAAACTTCAAAATGAGTCTATGAATTCCTTGTTTACTGCCTGACGGGTTGTTTCTCAGGCAGCACTCATCTGGATTTGGGTCCTTTACTGACCTGCAATTTTTCTTGTGGCGATAAACTTACGTCCAAGACTGTCTTCTGAGTTTGTGTATTTGTTTTACTTCAAGAACTTAGGAAGTTACATAATGCAGCACTCCAGTTCAACATAATTGGAGAAGAGGGCTAGGTTTCTTATTTTTATGGAATTAGTCCTTGAGGCTGCTTCATATACATCTAAAACATATTGGATCATTGGATGAAGATTTTCTAATTCTGGTTTGAGTGGATGAAGCCATTTTGTTAATGATAAAAGATGATGAAGTGTATTTTTGGGGACAGAGTATTGTGAGCGGTATGCGAAGAAGGATAACATTACAAACTCTACAGCAGAAGATGAGGAGAGTGGAGATGAGGAAGAGATCAGTGAGGAGGAAAGTGAATCAAGTGAAGATGAAATTCCAGGCCATGCTGATCCCTGAAAAGGCTGTAGTGGTCTTTAGCTATAAACCTCTTAAAAACATCCCTGCAGCAATGATAGCCTTGTTGCTCTATTATAAGATGTAGGATTATATATATGATTTGCTGCCTGTAATATCACAATTCCTGATTCCTGTACTCAATTAAGTAGGGTATATTTCAGCTAATGGAAAAACAAACATAATCTGTAAGTTACATGTAACTCTGTCTTGTTCCTTCTGTTCTCTTGTTTGGTATCTTCCAAACTTGTTCAGCCCTCACATTTTATACATGACGGGATGGAATTATTATAATGCTGCCCCCGACTAATGTGAGAAAACAACCAATACTTGTGCGGAGATAAGGGGTGCGAGTTCATACCGAAAATAATCAAAATGATTATCTGAAATGGTACAGAGTATAATCTGTTTGTTTTCTGTTTTTAAAAAACTGTTTTTTATTTTTAAAAATAAAAAATAAAAAATTTATTTAGATAAGTGTTTTTCATTTACTTATTTTTAAAACTTTTTTCATTTTTTGCTTTTAAAAACAAAAAATATAAACAACTTTAAGTTGTTTTCATTTTATCTTTTTCATTTTTAAAATATACTACATTTGATTATTGAAAATTATAGTTAATTTGATCAATTTTTATTATTAATCATCACCATTAATTGCCTATAATCATCACTATCAATTTATTTTTTAATTCTAAAATTGTTTTTTAATTGATATAATTAAATGAATTTTCATTTTATTTTGTTTTAAAAATAATTTTAAAAACTGTGTTATAAAATAATTTTTAAAAATAAAAAATGAGAACAAAAACCAAACGACCAATAATACTTGAGTCTTGACCTCCGGCATTTGCTGAAACGATCAACAAGCATTAGGAGCAAGTGAACAATAAAAGTTTTGTTAATGGAAGATTAGACAAATTGGATGACAAACAATTAAACATGTAGCCTTTAGACATGACGAGCAAGATATTCACAATTTTTCCTTTTTTTAAAAAAATAAAATGCTGCTTATTATCTTTATCATGATAATCTCACTTCATTTCGGAAGGGGAACTAGGGATTTGTTCTAATGAAACACAAATAGTGTACATGTATTCCTTTAATCTTTGTCATAAGCCAACTTTTAGAAAAGATTAGGTTAGTTGACGTGATATTTATTAAATTTATATAATATTGTATTTATTTAATGTTATTAATTATGACAGAGAATGTAATCTAAATTTAATTTTTTAATTTAAAAACAAAATTAATGTGGTTAAAGATGCCTTGTAATATGATTAGAGGATGTAGAATCCATTGGGGTTCTTAACTTTTAATTTCTTTTCTTGTTTGTCTTCCAAGAAGTTAAAGCTGGGGCGGCACAATTCCATTGCCTTCCCTTCTGTTAGTAACTAGTGCCGCTATTTACTTCACTATCCAAGAAATATATATATATATATATATATATTTTCCTTGATGCATACCCCAGAGTCGCGAGCACAAAGGAAATGCGATATCTTCATAGAATATTTTTGGAAACAACCTCTCACTCAGAACAGAGGTAAACATTTCGGTGTAAACTATATATTAGTAATGTCCAAAAGATTAGCGACACCCCGCTGAACGTGTGATTTGAATATCATTATCATTATTTACTATTAACTTTGTTGCCAGTTCCGCTGTTGGCTTTTCTGAGTCTCAACAAGTCGATTGCATTTCGCAATTCGGTGAGCCTTCTCTCTGCCCAATAATGGCCTTAGAAGTGATATGCTTTATGGTAGAAAGATAGGGGGGAAAAGCAGCTATAAACGTGTGGAAATAAAAAAAAAAAAATCCATAACTCGTTCGTTGTCTATTTAAGTTTACTGCTGTACTGTTCTGTGTTAATTAGTGTTAAGAATTGCTTGTATATTGGAGTATATGTTATAATGAAAAAAATGTATGACGTGGTTTGTGACTATTATGGACGACTAGCGGCCAAACAATCACTTCAAGAGAAAGAATTTTTAAGGACAAAATTATAAGAAAGTGTTTACGAAGTGACCCAGACTAGTTCAAAATAATGCCGGCACCAAACGTTGGTCATGCTTATTGCTCTGCCTTTTGGCTCACTTCTAGTTCTAGAGGATCATTCCCTGACGCTGTCAATAGAAAAAAAAAAAAATGCACAAGATTACAAGATGTTTGTTGTTATATCAGCCATTTGGCAATGCAATTCCTTAGCTTAGACAACCTTCGTCATATTTCACAACTCGGATCTTCCAAACCCCACCACCGTAAAGAAAGAAAACTTTCAGTGCAGAGCCAAATGGGTCGAAATCGAAATCCTATGTGGGTGCTCTTCATGGTGGTGTTCCCGTTCCTTCCAATGGCTCAGACAGAGGATGAGGAAGTGAAGCAGGCAATGTTGAGATTCATGGAGAAACTTGAACCCATGAATACACCTAGAAATATGAACTGGGGTTGGAACATGTCTTCAGACCCTTGCATTGACAGATGGTATGGGGTTCAATGTTATTCAAGAGCAAGATTTGTGAAGAACATAGTTCTCGAGGATTTTGGTTTCACGGGGATCTTAGATGCCGCTTCTCTCTGCACAGTGCAGCTTCTTCAAGGCCTTAGCTTGAAGAACAACAACTTACATGGCCTCATCCCTGAGGAAATAGAAATGTGCAAAGCATTGAGTCTTCTGTATTTAAGTGGCAACAATTTCTCCGGCGACCTTCCTCTTTCTATTTCACTGTTAGGTAATCTGAAAAGGATCGATGTTTCCGATAACAACTTGTCCGGAGACCTTCCTGATATGAGTCATATTACAGGGTTACAATCTTTTCGAGCCCAGAACAACAAATTCACAGGAGAAATTCCCAACTTTGTTTTCTCCAACCTGGAGGAGCTCAATCTCTCCAGCAACAATTTGCAGGGTCCAATTCCTGACGTGATAAGCTTGTTTGGAGCAGACAGCTTTTCTGGTAATCCCAACTTATGTGGACCCCCACTTGAAAACAAATGTCCTTCTCTTCCTCCTCCTGCAATACATAAGAAGCACAGCGGAAAATCTCTCGGTCGTAGCTTGGCCATTTATTCTGGGTTCGTGATTCTTGGTGTGCTCGTCCTGCTTTACTTGACATTCAAGATTGTCAAGCGTTACAGAGCCAAAAAGGAGCCATTGAATGTGGAGAAGGAGGAAGTGAGGAAGGAAGCTAGCAAGGTAAAGTCTCCAGAATGTTCCAATGAAGTAAATGGGATTGTGATGAGATCAGAGTATTCAGTGTCATCTGTTGAGGCAGGGATGACGTCAATAAATCTGGTGGTTCTCAAGAGTCCAGTTGTGAGGGCACTGAGATTTGAGGACTTGCTGAGAGCTCCTGCAGAATTGGTAGGGAGAGGCAAGCACGGAAGCCTGTACAAGGTGATGCTGGACAGTGGGATGGTTTTAGCAGCGAAGAGAATCAAAGATTTGGGAATTTCAAAACAAGATTTTGAGAAGAGGATGCACAAGTTAGACCAAGTGAAGCATCCCTGTGTACTGCCTCTTCTTGCATTTTATTGCTCCCAGCAAGAGAAGCTTCTGGTTTATGAGTTTCTGTTTAATGGCAGCCTCTTCAAGATGCTACGTGGTAAGTTGTTTGTTAAATTATATATATCCATGAATCATGCTCATTAATTTTCATCAGACTTGCATTCAAGTCTTTTGCATATTTCCGGTTCTTAGTTATTGGAGAATACTTTGATATGCGTCACATCAATGAATGTCAGGATCTCAGAGTGGCAAAACTTTTGGCTGGGGAAGCAGACTAAATGTTGCAGCGAACATAGCTGAAGCCTTGGCTTACATGCACGAGGAGCTTCGTGAAAGTGGGATAGCTCACGGAAACTTGAAATCCAGGAACATACTGTTTGACAAGAACATGGATCCATGCCTTAGCGAGTATGGATTAATGGTGGTTGAGGATCAAGATAAACCTGTCTTTTACAAAAGCAGCATGAAGAACAGAAATAGCAGAAATCCCAGTGGCGGTTCCGGAGCTGAAGCTTATAGCACCTTCAAGGTGGACACATATGCGTTTGGTGTGGTGCTTCTTGAACTTTTGACGGGAAAAGTGGTTCAGAATAACAATGGGTTTGATCTGGTTCGGTGGGTAAACTCAGTGGTGAGAGAGGAATGGACGGTTGAAGTATTTGACAAGTGTTTGACGACAGAGGAAGCTAATGAAGAGAGGATGATGACCTTGTTGCAGATAGCACTGAAATGCGTGAGTGCTTATCCGAATGAGAGGCCAAATATGAGTGAAGTTGCAGTGATGACGATTTCTTTGAAGGAGGAGGAAGACAGATCCATAACTTTTAACCCCTGACCCTTATGCAGTGAATTTTGTTGTTTTATGTGCCTTTTATTTTACATGTCTGATCATAAAATGACTTCTTCCGCGGATTCTCTATGCAAATTCAAACTTTTCTCCTTTGTATTAGATTTAAGCAAATCGTGATAACCTCATGTTTTGTGATAGAGATTAATTGATGTATTTAGTCATCGCAGGGAAGATATTCTAAATTCCTTTTCTTTTATAAAAAAGGAAGTGCTTTTGCTTGTTGGTCCCACGAAAACCCATGTTGTTTGGTTTAAAAATTACCTATTACGAAAGTTCGTTGGCGTAAGTTGAAGCGTCACTTAATAAACGCCATTCAGACATCCTTTTGCATTTGGAAATCCCAGTCGTAGATGACCCTCGTTTTCCACAAAATCCCCTTTTGCTTGACCATTTCAAAATTAATTATTTTTAGTTTTTTGAAATGATAATTGATTTGGTAAAAATATTTTTTAGATATTATTCCAATCTTATTTGATTTTGAATTATTCAATCATTTCCATAAGAACTAAAAATAAAAATAATTAACAAAAAAATTTATTAATAATTAAGAGATATCTTCTTTTAAAGATCATTAGGAATTAATTCTACTAGCAGTTCAACTACGAAGTTTGAATTAGTAATAACTAATTGAGACCATCTCTTTAGATTATTTGTTTCCTGAGACGTTAAGCAAGCGCAAGTATCCTATAAAAGACTGCTTTAACCATCTACTATGAATATCGTCCAATGTTTTTTTTAATTTTAAAATTTTAATTCACCAAGGGCTAATTTATAAGTCAGAACTCATGTAACACTCTTAAACTACATACAATTTTTATATTTATTTTTTAAATTTTAATTATATTATATGTGATCCATTGAATTTATAATGGAAGAGAATTTGAACTCATGAAAAAGAGACGATGGATTGAGATTTTAAAGTCCAACAGATATATCAATTACCAATTGTTCAGAGACTGCAACAACCTAACTAAATTAAAGCAAAGCAAAACAACTTGGCGCTTCAATACTTGAACCATGCATTTCAAACATCTCCTTCCAATCACACTTGGCTTCCTTCAACAGGGGCACTCCCTCCCATCAGCTTCTTTGATTCAGACCCTGAAGCAGCAAGGGCTTGAAGCAGCTCCATCACTTCATCAGGATCGTTCAAGAATGACATAGCTTTGCTTGGTTTTAGTCCAACAGTGCATGTAAAGATCTCTGCTTCTGTAGATAGAACTCCACGATGAGCTTGGCTTGACATGCTTGCAAACATGTCCTCGTCAAATCTATCATCCCCGATGCACAGCACGAAATCCACCAGTATCCCATTCATTTTTAGGGTAGAAAGAACTTTCTCTATGACTAGGCCTTTAGTAATTCCCTGTGATGTTATGTTAATTAGCCAAAGTTAGAATTGTCCATGACAATCATAGGTTAAGAGATGAAGGTGGAGCTTTATAGAGTTATACCTGTGGACTAACTTCAACAATATCACGTCCCTTTCGAACAACTGGGGGCTTATTTTCAAGAATGCCTCCAAGGTGATCTAACAGCTCCTTGGCTTGAAATTTACCATACTTAAACCCACAAGGATCATCTTTATGATAATGCAATACCAAGCTACTCTCCTTCCTCTCTATATAGGAGCCACCGGTTAATTCAGAGTATGATCTCATTCAGGTTCAACAATGCTTTTCCAAGAAAAATCAGTGACTATATCACTGCTTTTCCAGCTTGAATTTTTATCCCACCTGAAGTAAAAGAATATAAACTTCTTGAAAAGTTTAGAGAACTAACAAGAAAGAAAAAGAAGCTTCAAAACTAAATTATAAGAACACTCACCTTATAAAGTAACCATGCTCAGCTGCAATCCCAAGCTTCTCACACGAATCGAACCAATCACTTAATGAAGTCTTACCCCTGCTGCTTACTATAAACACAGTGTTCAAGGGATCATTGCAGAGGTCCTTTATAACAGATATTACCTCAGGAGTAGGGCTTTCCACAATGGGAGTCTGGGGAACAATTGTACTATCATTGTCCAAAAATATTGCCCTACAAGTAGTCTTTTCATATGCAGAAAGAACATGCTTGATGGATAGTTTACGAAAATTCAGAGGAAAGGACATGACAAAGAAACTAAAATTGAGGCCAAAGCTCCAGCAATGGTTAGTATGGTGATGCATGCATGAACGCTCAAGATCTTGCATAAAATTTCTGGCTTAGTAAGCCACATCATGAGATATAACGTATTGGAAATGCATCTCGTGCCTCAAGTGTTTCTGCGTAAGGGGCATGTTAATGGCTGAACTTAATGCTTCAGCCACAGCATTTATGTCCCATGGGTTCACCCTGAAAGCTCCATTAAGAGATGGTGAGCAACCTATGAACTCCGAAACAACGAGCGCACTTGTATGAAGGGATGCAGTATCTATTTCTAATACTTCATCCATCTCTGGAGTCCCTTGCCTAAAGGCAATATACATGTAAGGAACTAAATTCATGCCATCCCTCACTGCATTCACAATGCAGCATTCTGCCAGAGCATAATAAGCTGCCTTCTCATAAAAAGAAATAGGATAATCAATTATAATGACAGGTTGATAACCTGGGGAACCAAACCTTTCATTTATCCTCATGGCTGTAAGGTATGTCTCTCTCCTTGCTTATTCAACATCTCTGCCAGCACTCCTCGGGGGATTCAGAATCTGGACCACAACTAATTCACGTCGCAAAGATGGCCTCACCCGTAGGAGCTGTTCTATGGCCAAGAGCTTTAGACCAATGCCTTTGAATATGTCTGTATCATCAACACCAAGAATGAGTGTTTTCCCCTTAAATTGCTCGCGGATTTCTCTGACTTTCATGGACGAAGATGGGTGATTTAAGGAAGAATGAAGTCGACCCACATGAATCCCTGTAGGCAAAATTCTAATGTTCACCCTTCGGCCAAAGTATTCAATCTCAATGTAACCCCTTTTGTATTAATATTCCAAACCGAGCATCTGACTGCAGCAGGACAAAAAGTGGAGAGCATATTCAAATGTATGAAAGCCTATTAAATCTGAGTTAAGAAGAGCTTTCAAAATGTGCACTCCAATGGGCTGAGTCATATAAATTTCCAATGGAGGAAAAGGACTGTGGAGGAAAAATCCTATCTTGTAACGATTGTACCGCCTGTGCAGAAAGATTGGCAAGGCCATAAGATGATAATCATGAATCCATGCATAATCTTCTCCTGGATTATTAATAGCCTCAATGACCTCATACATGAATATCATATTAACAGCAACATAAGCTCTCCATAGTGTCTTATCAAAGCGATTTCCATAAGCAGGATCCACAGGTATCGTGTAATGGAATAGAGGCCATAAATAATGCTTGCAGAATCCATTATAACACATTTTGCGGATGCATGGAGGAATAAATATAGGCAAGCACTTGAATTCCTCCAGTACCTCAAGAGAAACTTGCTCTTGGTCGCTTTCTTCAACATCAACAGTTAGATCTCCCACATAAAATACATCAATATCATGAGGGATACCATCCTTTAGTTGCAACAAAATTGAATCTTCATCGTAGCTAAAGCACAACTTGCCAGAATTATCCTTTTGAGCATTGAGAGGAAGAAAATTAGCTACTATGATTATCCTTTGCCTGTCTTCTGATGAGGAATCAGAATCATATGGATCATCATCATCCTTAGAAGTAATTCCTGGATCAGGCATAACTACCGGTAGAGCTCTAGAAGTTTGAGGGGAACTTGAATTGTCTCCTTTGATGAAGTCGAACAGAATAATGCATTGTCCTAGCGCCATCTTTACTGAATTTCCCTGTAAATGAGATTTAAGAGTGCAGTATATGGAGATCAATTAATGAGGATCTTTAGAAAATTGGCCTGAAGAAAAGAAATAATCTGTAAATGATGCGAGAGATAGTATTGTAACTATAGCATTCAGGATCAGGATAACATACAGCAGTGTAACAAACATTAATATCACTCAACATGGCAAAGAATATCCTGACAGATACATGATTGACTACAAAATAATGTCATAGATATATGTGTGTGCGTTATTACCTTGAAAAGAAACGGTACAGATGACACTCATTGAAAAAAAAAAAAAATTCGGGGAGGGGGGCACTTGTAAATTGCATAGAAGAAAGGCAAAACATCGACTTAGTTCCTTAGTAATAATTAGAAGGATCAAGCAATCACAGATACTACTTTCTACAAATTTATACCACTAATGAGCTAAAAAGGGGGGAAATCATCGGTAAACTCCTGATGAAAATATGATTATTTGTTTTTTTTTAAATAACCATTCGGTATCCGGAGTCAATAGCCCCGACTAATCTGAATTTGAGCACTGTGAGGCCCTGAAGGGAGATGGCTCTCCCAAGCATATTTTCTCCCAAGAGTTAATGGTTAAGGGAACTCAAATCTCTTGCCATCTGAGCAAACATGCATTGGTTGATTATTTGGTATTTTGATTATGAACCCCACTTAACTCTCTTTGAAATAATCAGAATAAATCAAGTTAAATTTACTTCTTCAATAGAAAGGAACAAATTCACAGAGATCCAACAAAGGTTTGGCCAGTTGACTCACGCTTGACCTCGCAGTCCACCAAGCCAATACAAGCAGAAGCGCAATCGCAAAGTTGAAACAAGCAACCGGAGATCAAGAGGCAAGCAAGAAAACAAGTTTGAGCACTTATATTTAACAGAAACCCATACAGCTAATCTCATTATAACTTCCTCCAATCACCAGCCTTTCATGCGATTTCTAGCTGGCTCGTCATGCTAAGCCCGTGAAGCGGAAAGCGTTACTCATGAGAACAGCTAAGTAATAATGCAGAACATCAGGCTTGTCCCAAAAATTGCAGGTTCACATTCTTTATATGGCATTAGAATTATTAAATTTCTTTTTAATCAGTTTAGAAACTGAATAAATGTGAATTACCTATGTATCAGTTCTTCCCTGCACTTCAGTAAAAACGTAAATTTTGAAATAAACCAAGGCAATATATCAGTCGATAAAAGAACGCCCACACAAGTTCATGAATAACATGACAAACCAGCAACAACTTCAATGCTTAAGGTAACTTAAGGACAAAAAAGGTGGTTCAAATTTGTCTCCCTCCAAACCATAGGAGGAAACTAGTGGAAGCACTAACGTGATACTTGCTTGTGGCAGCTAG